AGCCCTAGAGTCTATTAGTCTAGAGTCTCCCGTCACAACGGAGGCGGACTCCCACCAATTTTCCAATAGACTCATCAGCTCACACTCACGACATCAGCGCTAAGCCATCTGTGCATGCAACACGAATAAAACTGACGACATCCTCCGCATATTTCCTTTTCATTAATCGTTAGGGTCAGCATTCGTTGAGAAAGAATATGCAGGGCAGGCGTACGGTGGGTCTGTGTCGTCCGCATTATGCGCACTGTGCAAGCCATTTTGCTCAATGTCTTTTGAAACAGTCCGGAATGCGTCCTTGGCGCTGCGTGTACCAGCAGAAGTGAGTTTTCCCTCGTAGTAGGCGGCTGTGGAAAGAACACGGGACAGGGTGTTGGATGCGCTGTCAGAACGCAGCGACGCCCCACGGTCTACGGACGTGGGTTGTCCCAGTAATTCTAAAAGCAGCGTTTGCTTTCTAATCACCGCGGAAGAGCGAACGACTTCATACTGAAAAACTCCTATGAATTTAGGATATTCAATTATTTTTAGTTGACTTACGATGAATTCATGAACGGCGGTGGGTGTGGGTAAAATTAGGTCTGCTTTGCACAAAGCAAGGTCAAGTAACCGGATAGTCTGTCAAATACGGTCAATTTCGCTTCAAAGGCACATCGAAAATCTCATACCTCCTGGACTAGACGCTCGATGCCTCCAGTGGTCACCAAACTGTCTAGCTTGCTGGAAAGAAACCCAAGTAAGTCAACAACAGCCTTCCACAATTCAAGCCAGTCGTAATCTGAGTAAGAATGCCGGGTCAGACATCAAGAGCAAGCAATTAGGTGAGATCACCTTGCCTAATCGTATTCTTTCCTTCTGTAGATACCATATGACGCGATAGCACGTCCAGATACACGTACTATCTCACCAACATCAATCAGTCTCAGTAAAGGCCGGGAAATAAACAAAACGCACGTGAACGTATACACGTCGAGCCGCTTATGTAGATTATGACGTAGCCATAATACACAACAATCCAGGAGTGCGCAGATTGGTGCACGCGTAGACGATGGCACTGGAAGGAGTGGAAGTCTCTGCATTCATTTCAGTATTAGTTGTGAAATTTGGACGTGTACAAGCAATGACCTGCCGACACAGCCTGATTGCCTCCTTTGAGGAGGCAGGCTTACAAAAGACCGACATTATAGCTGCATTCTCGGACATCACAAGAAGTGTGTTCAATGCAAGGTTTGCATAAGCTAACGTGCGGGGTGACGCCGAAGACGAGGCATGAGTCAACACATAGGATGACAATGAGAGGATGTTATATGCTAGTGGGGGTACCGGCGCGCTCTGTTTATTGTCAGATGGCTTGTGTATCATATCCACTAGCACCTGCGCAAAAAGGGGATTGAAGAAAAGGAACTCGAAAACGGGTAGGAGTGAAACGGTCGCCTCGATTGGTCTGTTCTCTCAGTAAGAGGAATGCGACATGAATCTTGATAGTTTCACGTACTGAGTCTTGAGAAAGTCTCGAGGTACGTCCAGTGGCTGCATTACCAGTGCACGATCGGGTAGGAGAGAGGTAAACAGGGCTCCGACGCTCTTTGCAAATGTGGGGATCGAATCGTCCGAGATTTCTTGGTATGCCCTACCACCGAGTCAGCTAGGAATCTTCTGTGAATGCCCGGAAAGGCGCACTTGACAGCAGCATCGAGTGCAAACCCCGCTGCCCAACAAATCTTGCGCATGAGTTCTGTGTCTTGCGTATCACGTATGCGCTGGAGGTATGGATTAAGCCTCGCTGCATCAGATTTGTGAAAATTCGCCAGAATAGAGAGGAGGAGCGAAGCTTCAAAAGTAAAGCGTTGAGTATCTGGGGATGTGATGACCTGTCACAAGCAACATCATTCCCTCAGGACCGACAACAAAACCATGGAACAGTAATCTGTACCTTAGCGATGCAAGGAAAGAGGTCTCTGCGCAGCAAGTATGCGCCCGGGCTTAACTGGCTGATGCTACACGTGAAGACAACAGCCAGCTGAAGAACCCGGTGTCGAAGAGCCTCTAAATCACGGTCAGTCAAACAGGTCCACATCAGTCGTTCTCAGAGCTTACCAGGAGCATTATTATCGCCCAGTACATCTGCAATCATCCCAACAAACTCCTATACGCGATAGTGAGTCTATAGTGGAGATGAAGGTTTCGCATCGGCCGTACCATGAACACCCTGTCGGCCTCGTTCACACTGTTAGCAAAGATCTCCATCACCTCCCATCCTGCTAGGTTCTTGGCGAGCACAGTGTGCAGCATGATAGAGAGCGTGTCGATGGCGTGGCCGCTGGTCTCCTTTCCCTTGCGGTCGGCTGCAAATACGGTGCAGACAGTAAATAGGGCATGGAGCACGAGCTACTGACGGGGATTGGTCTGTCAGTACCATGGTGTTGGATGTTGGACAATGTGGATAACAGACCTTGTGTGAAATGAGGCACTCGTCCTTGGAAAGTGTAGATAGAAGACGCGTTAGAAAGGTACGGTCGGGCTCCAGGGACAGCAGCTCTTGCCAGAAGCGCTGTTCATCGTGTCCAGGAGAGATTTGTGCTGGACTGAGACCCTATGCGTCGTGTCAGGACTTTCAGGTCGTACCGTAGTAGTAATAGTACGCTTGCCTGGAATAGTTTATTGATAATAGTTACATATCTTGAGCTGATGGGCCAGGAGCTTCGCGGTGCGGCATTCATGAATACTGTACAATGGCAAAAAGACAGTGGCGGCCGCCGTTGTGGTCTCCCGCGTCGATTATATACAGTGGTGGTACTCTGGGTGTCAGTGGAGGTGATGCGCAGCTAATGATGAACGTTCATATTTTTGGATCGAAACAAGTCACAGGGTAAGCGCCCCGTACACTACGACCTAAACAGCCCATCATACGCCGCATAAACCATTTCAACCATCCAACTCATCAACGCCTCGTCTTTCATCCTCACGTCCTCCATCATCCTCCTAACGCCCACAAACGCTCGTCGACCCCTCCGTTCGCCCTCCAGCTCGCCCCCAATATCTTCCACCACATCGTCGCCCTCGTCGTCTTCTACAACACCAGGGAACCCAAAGTGTTCGCCGTCCACACGGGGAGCAGTCTCCGAGGTAGCGACGAATGATGAGCGGAAGAGAATACGGATGATGAGCAACGCGGTAAGTGCAGCCGAAGGAGGATCAGCGACAGGCCGGGTGTAGGATATATTCGTTTGCCTTAGAGGAGGGGGCTGTCGCTTTGTGGGATCTGTGAAGGGGTACGATTCTCCGTCGGCGGTAACAGTAATTGTATCATCTTGAGAAGGATGTTTTGCGGGTGGTTGGGAACTTGAGAGATGGGTGAGGATATGAGGTCGTAGTCGTTGTTTTGATGTCGATGGCAATGGACATGTGGCCCAGAGACATGGCGGCTCGGGGTTCTCGGACGACTCCAAATGTTGAAGGAGGTGGTCATATAACTCTCCGGGGGCCTCGAATGGCGAAACTGAACACTGGGAGCGCTCCCACAAGCACTTGAAACGAGGAGCAGCTTCCGTATTTTTACGCCTGTCCACACCACGCACGACAAAGCGCTGTGGCGGCCCAGGAAGGACCATCGCCTGAGCCTGAGGAAAAACGACATTGACATTTTTGATCACGTCTGATGCAACCAGGACGGGATGGCGGTCCGCGAAGGGTGTAAAGGCATCTTTGTAAAGAGTCCAAAAATCGACTTGAGTGAGCTCTCCGTCTGGTGTTGCAATGAACATGATTTTCATCCTGCAAAAAATGACATTATCATATCATGATACAACCTGCATAACGTGTACTCACCACTCGTAACAGCGCTGGGGTTCAGGCATGGAAACTAGGGTCTCAAGCTCCTCTTTGGTAAGGTCATGGACGGGGATCACGACCGTTGTTGCTGGGATGGCGCGAGAGACTGCACTAATATCCAGGTTTACGGTCTCTTCTACTTGTTCAGATAGAAGAAAGCTAACAAGCACGCGAAGAGTGCTTGGCATGAGAGGATGATGCAGAAAAGCCTTTACCATTGGTGGGTGCGAAAGATGGGCATATAGGTAGTTCAATGAAGCTTCTACCAATGCTCGATCGACAAATAGAGGCAAGTAACGTACGGAGGCAGCGAGCGCTGGCGAGTTTGAGTCCAGGCGACGTGTGTTTTGTATGTTAGACAAAAGTTGTGCCAAAAGGGTCAACGATGAGATGATAAGGGAGCGATTCGATGAGTGACCTGTAATTTGCAGCAGAGTAGGGAGGGGGTCTTTCTTGTTCGAAGCAGGGTCTGGCAGGATAACGCCTAAGGATATGGCCTGCAGAAGTTCTATGGCGTTGAGAACAAATTCAGCATTCATATCCGTGTCTGGATCGAGGTTGGTGAGGGCGTTAAATAGTAATGGGAGTGTTCGGGAATGATTAGCTAGCTCATATGCATTGGGTTCATTCGTGGCCGAATTGCGGAGGATAAATATGGATTCTAGGGCATGCCGTCGCTTTCTGTGTTCAGCATCGGGCATAGCAAATAGTCGATACTGCTCTGCCATTAGGTATCCTTCTGTCGCATACCACTCCGGCCATTCGAACAGTGCGTCTGTTAGACCAGGAATGGTTTTCAAGATGAATTGATCATTTGCACATAATCGATACAGCCTATCCAGCGCCCATGCAATCTCCGAGTTTATGCCGGAACGTATCGATAAGACCATACGGTTGTTGGGTGTCGCCTCAGTATACCACCCTGAAGACACATAAATCAATGAAATTTACATGCAAACAGGTACCCACTTTCATAGTCATCTGTAACATTTGGTCCGACGCGCTGCACTGGATGCTGCTGGCCATATTGCCTGTAGACGCCAGGCGTTGTCGTCCGAGGTGGGATGGCCATGGAGGAAGGAGACTTAAGTTCGGAGCTATGCGCAGTCACGCGTCGGTCACGCGTGATGTAATGTCGGCTGTCACACAATACGTGATCATAGCTTGCCGGAATCTCATCTCCTCATCCTAGTACTACTCATGCCTTTGATCGAGGTTTGTCCTGCAGTTCTGTAAGAGGATAGCAAACACTCACTTAACCGCAGGTGATTGCAAATGATCGGCTGGGCCGAAAAGGTGAGTGCACACAATTTCATGATCCGAATCCTAGCTTGAGCAATCTACTAGTCCGAGTCAAGTGCAGCCCAGATGACACTGTGGGTGACCTGAAGAAACTCATTGCCGCTCAAACTGGTACAGACTCCAAGAAGATTCAGCTGAAGAAATGGTGAGCATCCGCTAATTGCTACGACGCTCTCCCTTGTCACAGGACTGTGCCAATAAATCACCATATACATTTCCTTCTTGAACACATACTCATGACACTGTTCTCCTTGTCAGGTATACGATTTACAAGGACCACATCACGCTCTCAGATTATGAGATCCATGATGGTATGAGTTTGGAGATGTATTAGTGTTCAATTCACGGAGTCCCAAGAGTACGAGAGGATGGTCATGCAGAAGTAGACACGAGGCTGTTTTTTGTTGAGTCGACTTCCTAGTGCCATCATCTACAATCATATCATGTATTAACAGCTTTGTTCCAATTAATCACTTGTTGGAGGGTTATATCATCATCTGACGAGTCAAGTTTGAACTCTGTTACACTATGTCCCTTCCGCACGAAACCCCAAACTACTCACAGATCACTACAGATCGCCTTCTATCACACACGTCGGGTGCCTGGGAGCAACGTTGATGCCGTTGGACGTATCGCAGGGTCATCTAATATCGCAGGTGGTCTGGGAAGGATCATCGACGAGCTCCCAAAGTTCGAGATTCGTGACTTCTGCGTCTTGATTGCATCTGCTCGATGGTCTGTAAATGGCTTGACAATTACCCAGCTTGCGCCTGGACTCTGCATTCGCTCCTCAACGCGACGAGAAAGGAACGTCGTGTTTGGCGTGCTTTCGGTCTGGGGGGGTTGGAACTGAATCGGTGTCGAACGGGGTCCTCGAGGACGCGCAAGGATATGAGGTTCTACCGCACTGCTTGAAGCTGTTATATGTCTGGCGAAGCTCGCAGTGCCACTGGGTGTCCCCAAATCTTGATCGACATCTTCCTCGGATACGGGGTGGAGAATGTTTTCACGGTGTCCGATGGTGTCCGCAGACTGAGAAGGTGAGTAAATAGACGCCGAATCTACACTGGTGTTCGGGTTTTGATGATGTTCTTCATTCAAGACGGGCATCTCGTCAACGTTATCTGGCTCTGTGGCAATTGTTATGTCCCTGGCATATTTCATACCAGGGACCGTCTCGTCGGTCTCTACAAGATCCCTGCTTGTAGCACGCGACTTTCGGTACCACGATTCACGCTTCGTAAACTCTGGCATGGGGCGTTGCCTGCTTTGAGTGTGGAGTGGCGCCGTAGGTGGAGGGTCGAGCGAAAGAAAGTTGACGATTCGAATTGGCAAGATGACGTGTACATCCGAGGAACATCGTCCGATTCCTACACTTATGCGAAGCGTGTACTCAACCTCCAGCAGTCGTGTTCGGGCAATAGAGTGAACGTCGGGCTACAGGGATAATTAAAGTTCGATTACCACAATGCAACCAGAAAGAGATCGTGGCGGCTTACCGGTAATATCACAGAGTGGTTGAACTCGCTCGTCTGACCGGGAGCGACACCTGTCCACCACCCTTTTGCGCTCGCATGTCCCTTAGAGCAACGCTGTCCCAACTCAAGAACGCTTTCCGTCACGCACTTTGCCTTCGTTGAGGTTTGACAAGCATCCGGATCAGCATCCCCAGCATCCAAGTGCGGTTTTGGCTTGAACACGGTCAGTGTTCGTATTAGCGCAATGGCGGCGCCTTTTACTAATTTCTTGCAGTCATTGACCACTCGGAAATGAACGGTGCAACTTTGGCCGGCGACCCAGTGGAAGCGGTGGATACGGGCCGACAACCTGATTTTTCCTGGGCCACCCATGAACACTCTAGTGGCAACCTCTGCGACTAATGGGCGGGAGTTTGTGGCAAGCGTGGAGACAACGTCTAGACGTGGCCATATCTCACAGTCGCGGGAGAAGTGAACGATGGATTCTTTGGATGTCGCGGAGTCCTTGACTTTGATCTCTCTGATTGATTATCAGTAGATGCGGGTGATAGAACACAGAAGCTCCGACACTTACGCCATAACAATGTATTTAATCGCCACTCCGGAGCTTATGCTCAATACCCCTTTCGCCATGCCGCAGCCACTATCTGGAGGAAGAAGCATCACGAACGGAAAGACGTGGACGCCCTCTTGCGCTTCGGCCCAGCCATCCTCATCGGGTGGTGATTTGAAGAGACCTTTCCACGTTGGAGCAATTTCTGATAGAAGAGCTGAGTATTTATAAAATGTGCACTTGCTATCCTTCTGCGATATGCACTCAAATCCGACGACCCTGACCTTCCCCTGAGAAAGCAGCAATGGTGTATCCTTCTTAGAGCCTTTTTTGATGTGAATATTGACTGTCCCCTTGAGGTAGCTACCTTGCACACAAGTGTGGTTCTCGAGTATGATGTCCACTTCTACACGCGACCTCCACCTTGCCTTTTCTCGCACAACGGGCTTGAAATCGGTGCCGAGATCTCCGCTGCTATCTGCGTTGCGTAATGCCGGGTGAGGGTGGACAATTGCACCGGGCTCCAATCTGGAATTCGAGTTTCTGAGAAGGGGCTTGATTTCTGGGCCGCTCCGGGCAGGGACGGCATCGACGTCGAAAAGAGTCGCGCTGGTGGCCAGGCTGGCCATACTTCCGACCACAGGACCTGGGGCGGAAAGGACCTTTCGGGGTGGTGGGGCAAATTTTGAGCTTCCCGGAGGCATGAGAGACTCCGCTGCTATGCGTTGGCCAACGCGGTACCCGGATTCCCCAGGCTTTCCATACACGTCGAACTCTACCATCGAGTCCCCGACTTCTGCTAGGAGGAGACCTCTCATGGCACTCATTGAGCGCAAGGCTGGAACGGCCATCTGGATATCCGCATCAGCGCTGGAGGGCTGCACGCGGTTCTGTTTCAAAGTTGAGTGACTGGTGGCTGCCTTGAGCTTGAGGGACGAAGTTTGTGACCGAAGGACGATATCAACGCCTTGAGGTTCGTGCTTGCTTGACATTGCAATTCACGAATGATTGTTCCTTGCAGAGACACAGTCACAAATCCATATGAACCACGATGCTGACAACTCAACTTTGAAACTACTTCAGTTCTGACCGCCAGTCTGATTTGAAATTGGCGTCGAGCGCAGCTCCTTCATTGAGACCTATATTATAATAAAAAGGCACCATAGACGGAGAGGTTAGTATCCTACTCCGAAAAAGGCCTTAGGGTGAAAGATAAATCCGCCGAAGTGCGCAGTTTCCACCTAGATCTAAAATCTTAGTGACTGACCTGCTCACAGATAAGTGTTGGCATGATGAAATATGTGAAATACGTAGGTATACCGATGCCCGTTAATCACAATAATGTGGAGCTCTGGTTCTCATTGTGACAAGTCCGTCCCTACGGTGCCTCAGGTCTATAATAAACATCTTCTCCCTTATCTGCGGAGAGGACTAGTACTCCACTGAAAGTTACGGTGTTCTCTTGTCAGCGGAATTCTTGAAAAAAGGTTAGGTTCGCACCATCGCAAATTCAGCACCCAACCTCTTGTAGGAATATCATTAATATGTTAGCACCTTTCAAGTAGCCCCACGTCATGCAACCGTTACTCCGAGTCCATGATTCTGGTTAATTGATGTTCCGCCAAGCTCAGGCTGTGGCTAAAATGATGCCGTGCTTCCGCATGACGCTAGTACAAGTAAACGATGAATTGGTACTTGGTTTGATGGGAACGTGTTGGCAGCCAGGAAGCTCCATGTTTTGCTGTAGACATGTCGCCCGAAGTCGGAACTAGACAAAGACGCCCATACCGCCAAACAAAGACACGAATTGACGTCAAGCTGTGATGTTCCGAGTCCCGATGGCTTCGGTTTCCTGACAGCTAATGATTGAACTTTGAACTAAATACACAGCTCAGCTTTGCGTATTGTCCTCGTTGCAGGCGCGAGGCCTCTCACAAATCCACAATCCACAGCTTGCTTGCCCATCCACCATCGGTATAAAAACCCTCAGGCTTAAGGCTATAATTTAATTTTCGAATCGTCCGCACTTCGGTACCACAGCACTCGTGACTTTAACTTACCCTTGTATACATTCATCCACCGCAGTACTTACTCACGAAACTCCCCCTTGATTAGTAGCCATCATGTCCCTTGGTCTCCCACCGGTATCGACAGGTCTCAAGTCTATAGCGCCGTACCTCCAACGTGCTGAGGAACTGGTCAATCAACAACCAGTTGTGGCATACTGGTGTACGGGTAACCTTTACATTCAAACACATCACATGGCTCACGGAAGTGTCTAGGCGCGTACTATGCAGCACAACTTGGTATCAATTTGAAAGCAAAGGATGCTGCTTCACGCACACTGCTCCTAAATCTCCTGAACGCACTCGAGCGCTTGAAAGCAGAAATCGGTCCCAGTGACACTATAGATAGCGAGCCTGCGAGCGCAGCGTTCGTTGAGAACTTTGCCCTAAAGATCTTCCGCATCGCCGATGATGAAGACCGTGAAGGTCATGCAACAAGGTATCCGGCTATAATTGTCTTCATTTCCGGTAGATTGACTCACATCTAATTAGATCAACTGCGAAGAAGTTTCTTGCCGCAGCAAATTTCTTCGAGGTCTTGAAAGTATTTCCAACGACGGATATCTCCGATACAGTAAGCCGTCGTAGCATCATGCAGTCGGACGACATTTGTCTAACGTGCATTCACAGATAGATGGCAAGATTAAATATGCTAAATGGAAGGCAGCTGATATTGCAAAGGCATATCGGGAGGGTAGGAAGCCCACACCAGGTCCTGCTGGGTCTCAGTTTGACCTAGAACTCCTCCATGCTACTTCTGATGCTTCGGAGCTACCTTCACGAGTTGAAGATCCTCAGACCTCCCCTTCAGCAACGAGCCAATCCCCCACGTTGCCTCAAACGTCGCATTATCGACAGACACCATCTCCAAAGATGAGTCCAGATGATATCACTCGTGCCAATCGCTTGCATTCCCCTCGCCATGATGATGAATCGCTGAGCCCCGGGTGTTGGAGTACGACGGCGACTCCAGGATTCGATCTTGCTCAGGATAACAGCAGTGTCAGTTTGGACCAGGCAAACAACTGGCACGAAACCCCTCTCAATGGTAGAGGGAGTCAACTTCGTAAAGCCTGGATTAGCACCGACGTGGAGGACACGACTAGCGATGAAGAGCTAGTCCGAGATCCGTTGCTTAACGGATCATCGCCTAGTCAGGTTCCGTTCTTGCCATTTGCTAGCGAGTCTCGGCCGTCCGTATTCCAGTCCTCATCTCCGCCCAAAGAGCGACCTGTTATATATGCACCGACAACCAAAGATCATGTTTCCCCCACTCCTCCGCATCCTACCTTCCTTCCTTCGATCTCTCCACCGAGAGGCTCGCCACCGCGAACCCGTGTTCGCGGTCCTTCAATATCGTCTCAAGAACTTCCGCTTGGATTTGTACCCTCGAGTCCAGTGCCTCCGCCCATGATTCCTCCTCCACCAATGCCCACTATATTCGCACCTTCTTCACCTCCTCGCATGGTGCCTCCGCCTCCAGCTCCCGCCCCAGTTCCTGCCCCTTTACCAATGAATAATTTTCAACTTACGTCCACTATCATTGCCAAAGCACAGAAGCACTGTCGCTTTGCTATTTCCTCGCTTGATTACGAGGATGCTGAACAAGCGAGAAAGGAACTCAGGGCTGCGCTGGCTCTCCTCGGAGGTTGAATTGATGCATTAGTGTCGATTGGTCATGCTATCCAGTGTGGGAGCTGGTCTCTTTCCTGAGGAAGCGGGCTTTCTGCCTGAAAGGCTCATGTATTTTTCTTCATCTACCTGTGATTTAATGTAGTGTGCTAGCTATAGCCAGTATCAACTATCTCAACTTTATTTGTATCGTAAAACTTGTTCCCGAACTATATGATACATCCAGAAAAGTATTTCGAAAGCTTACTTCTTCCCGACATTGCGATCGAGAATGGAATGTGCGAAATGTGCGTCCACTGGGCTATCCACGTGTTGCGAGTCATCTATGATCGTCGTTACTTGTACTGACATACGAGGGGGAGCTGATGTCGTCGAGGTGACCGCAGGGGCCACACCAGCACCGCGATCGGTGCTTAGTGAAGCATCAGAAGACATGGTGTTGGTACGAGTGGATGCAATATCGAGTACTGGAATGGGTAGCGCATGAAAGGCCTTGAGCGTGCTCGAAAGGTCGCCCAACTGGAAGTAGTAAGATCAGACATGGACGGTGAACTGCAAGACGCATATACCTTATTCATGACAGCGTCGATGAAAACCCTCCTCTCCGCAAACCGATCCGCCAGTCTTGTGAATTCTTCATCCCGTGTCCTCTTCCCAAACACCTCGTCGTTGTCATCCGAATCTTCCCCTTCGGTCGCTTCATCGCTCTCATTGTCATCTTCCTCTTCTCCGAGTGTATCACTTCTCTTATTCTTTCCCGTCTCCTTCCTGGTGGTGCCTGCTTTTCCACCGCGCTCAGGTACGTTATGACCCCGCGCAGTCCGCAAACCGACATTCTCCATATCAACATGCATCTTTGAAATCTCGCTCTGGAGCTCCAGGATATGCGATAGATGGGACCATAGTTCATCGTCAGCACCCGACCGCACCGGCATTGGTACATAGTCAGATAATTTCTGACCAGTGAACGGTTCATACATTATCTCCCTGGCTGATTCATGATTAGGTGAAGAGTCGGATGTGAACAATGAGTTCTCGGCAGCGTTTGAGCTCAGATTGAGGGAAGACCCTTGGGCAGCATCCGGTCGTAGAGATGGCCGCTCTGCAGCCTGAGGACCACTCGAGGGCAAGTATCCCTGGAGTTCGGCAAGAATGTCATCATGCGGTGTCAGAAACTTTGCCGGCTCAGTTGATTGTCCCAACGACTTCACGTCGCTTGATGTATTAGTAGCTGATGGATTTGGTCTGAGGACGTCCTGTTCAGTTTGGGTAGAGTATGTGCTGGGATCCCAGATGTGTTCGTGGACATCGTTGTGATCATCGTCTGTGATGGGAATTGCAGATTGTGATGAATGTCCTGTGAGTTCCACTGTCGAGCGGGAAGCTTTAGATATTTGATCTGGTTGGCTGAGAGCTTGTGTGTTGTTGGACTTTTTGCTCAGCCATGAGGAGAGCATGCTCTTGGCCACTGGCACCTAGTATGTTTGACAAAAACACGCTGTTACTATGTGTTGTAGGGTGTTGCACAATCAGTGCGGTGTTCTCCAAACTCTGCCTCTTGAAACTCAGCGCTCAGCACTCAGCTCTGAAGCTTGAAGAGTGCAACATGTGTAATGGCCAGGGATATAGGGTTCCGCTTGCTAATTAGCATGTTATTAACTAGCGGCGGTGGACCCGAAGAAGGTACTGAATAGAGGGAGAGTTAACAAGAGCACATACACGATACGAGGATCGACTGCTGAGATCAGAGGTCGTGCATGGGTACAATTTTACTCGAAAATCTCAGATACACCGATGGCACGCGCATCGGTAATAATCGATTTGGCTAACTACAATACAACGAATTATGAATGAATCAAATGGCCATTGGCGACCCTCCACCAGATATACGGCGGCGCTTCAAGTTTGCAGCCGGCTCCCGACCATCTTGCTCAGGATGAAATAGATATCCAAGTCATGTTCCGCCACAATCTTCTCCCCATCCGACACACCATCAGGACCATGCATAGGATAATGGGTCTTATGGATCGGTCCAACCCAATCGAAATCGAGCAGCATGAAGTGTTTGTTGTCTCCCACAACGAAATTGGTATCCCGAAGGTCGCCATGAACGTAGCCGGTTCATTGTAATCGTGTAACTCCCGGATGAGAGAGGTGATGGCCTCCTTCAGCGGCTGGCGGTCCAAAACAGCTATCTCACTGAGCAGTCGATATGAGCCAGGCCGTTGCGGGAAGCAACCATTATCAATATCAAGGGCATCCATAATCACCATATTCCAGCCGCCAGGTAAAGGATTGTAGGCGATAAGTTTGGGAGCGTGCCCCCTCCTGGCACAAAATTCATGGGCCTCAGGGGAATAGTGCCTGACGAACTCGATACATATCTTGCTCCCAGCCGCATTGCCGACGGTTTCCCCGAAGATAAGTCGATACCCGATGACTGGAGTCTCATCACACAAAATTCCTGAATGTGACCGGTTGAATTGGTATAACTCCGAGGATAATGACATCCTAGAGATGGATATTTGGGTTCGAGGGACGCAGTACCTGTGCCCTTCTTGAGAAGCAACAAGGGGATTAATGTGTCGTACGACGACATGAATACATCCGCGCTCTACTCCATGCGTGAACACTTCGGACAGTTCGGTTAATGGCTTCAACTCCACGCCTTGGTTTCCGATCGCGTCGAGTAAGTGTGGGTCGTTCAAATTGATCTTGATCTTCCAAATGATCAGATCGTCAGGATTAGACCTCGGGCATTGATCACTCACCTGCCGTAGCTCGAGATCGTCAGCGTCAACATGATCAAAATGTGGCTTCTTCATGTCCTTGATAACCTTTGGAGGGCGCTGACATTCTCTGTCGGTGCAATCTTGATCTCAAATACACGGCGAGGATCATCGCCCAAGACAATGAAGTTGAGTTTGTACATCTGACGTTGAGAACAAGAGTAATAATGTCTCGAGCGGTGACCGCAGTGAGTGCTGCACTCAAGGGCTCCGTGAAAAACTCCCAAGTTTTTACATGTGATTACATAACTGGTCGGGCAGGAGTACTGTGACCTGTTACCACTCCGAGTGATAACAGGTCACTCGGTGTCAAAAACTCAAATATATATCCCAGGAACACAGCCTGTCAACGTTAACTCTCTAAGATATAAGCTGAACATCTGAAAATCCCGAACAACTAGTTAGATAATATTCCCCTCGGAAACTCCAAATATAATTTCCAGCACTAGTGCTCCAGATCCGGATAAGGTCGAACTAGATCTATGGCAGTACTGAAGCGGCACTAAATAACTTGAATGCACTCGAGGTCACATTTGCACCCAGGGGTCGGAAGGACGAGTCGATATGAGAGTACTTGGTGGTAACGAGGATGCTCATCTTGATGTTCCTCGATTGTTGGACTTACTGTCAGAGAAGCCGGTGGAAGGGGCAAACAGGGCGCCTAAAACAGGATACCGCAGTTCCAATGCCTTCGCGACTCGGGGTCTGTACAGTGGGCCTTTGCATTATAGTAGCGAAAAATGGGTACACTTGAGTTCAATCCACGCGCTTGTGCAATTGTCAACACTGCTACCATATTCGAACACCAAGGACAGACCAAGTACGAATATGCACTAACTTACGGACTTTCAAATTGAAGTCAGAGGCTGTTTGATGATCTTTGATCTAAGACTAGAAGCTTGACATAGCCTGATGTGCCGCAACGTGTTGGCGTCTAATATCGGTATGATACGAGAACACCATATGCTCGCTGTGATGGCACATCGGATTCCGGTCGTCAAATTTAGCCAAATTACCTCACTGGTAGTTTGAAGGGTGATAGTGCCACTATTGATCATCAATTGCAACGTGTTGCAGCGCTGGCAGGATAGTTGATTGCAGTGTGATAACCAACCTTCAATCAATCATCTATCGCTAGCACACCGAAGCGACCAACAGCAACAGACTTGAAGTCCGCATCCTGGTGTTCTTCTTCGTCGGTCGCACGTTTATCTTCATCGCTATCTTCACTGCCTTCATCAGGACTTTCGACCTCGTCAGTTTCATAGCCTGATCCTCCCTCATCATCTTCATCTAGTTCTTGGGCGTGCTGGTCTGCATTGCGAATGAGCCAGATTCCGTTGCCCCCACTGGATCTAACAGTCGCTAAGTCGGTTCCCGGAGGCCAGAAAGCCCATGCTATCCTGCCCTCCGCGACGAGTCTCAGTACTATTAATGATTATTATCGAAGATCCTAAACAAATAAAAAATACTCACTGGCGTTGCCTGCACGGTGGATATCTGGCCTGCCTGCCTTTGCGGTAACCCAGCCTTTTTTGTTCGCATATGCGGTCATGATCTCCGTCGCTGTCCAGTGCATCTTGTTGTCCTTCGCTGAAGGTTGCTTACCATCGCGCCAGGTGCGCTTGTCCTCAACGGGTGCGCTGTTCGTTGAAGGGTGGGTGAGACCCAGGATAGTCTCGAGCGGGAGAAGTTGCCCAATTTGGTGGATGCAAAATGGGATAGCGGAGACACGGGATATGGGTAATATTCCGCAGAGAACCTGAGTGTCCATCGGTGTGAAGGCAGGCATCACAAGCCCTGGACAATCAACGAGACGGACATCAGGGCTCCAAAAAAGAGTTTGAAAATGCTTTGTCTGGTCGAGTGTGTAAGACGAGGCTCTTTATCTTATGGATTAGGACTGTTGTTTTACCTTTCCAGGGGTCCGTGATGCTCGAACTTTATGTATTTCGAACAGCGCATTGAGAAGGGATGACTTGCCAACGTTCGGTTGACCTGAGATGAGCTGTCAATTTTCAAATATGTGAAAGCACAAGAAAAATGTACCGATCAAACCGACAGTCAGAAATTCTGGCTCTTGCCATTCTAATTGTCCTTCACTATCACTAGCTTCCTGTTCTAGTTCTTGGGCATCATCTGCGGTATCCTCTTTGCCCTTTCCCTTTGGCATAGCTGCGCCTCCGACGATGCTCCCTACTTTCTTGCCATGGGCATGCAGCAAGCCATTCCAATCAATCTCGCGCTTGACTGGAGGATTCCAGCGCTTAAGCTTGGCCTCATCCGAGCGCACCCGTTCAGGGGGGATTAACATTTCTTCATGCACTTGACGCATGGCGCTAACCAAACGTTCTCTGAAGGGAAGGGGGAGGTGCGATTCATAGACTGGACGTCCTTGCTCGCCAACTTTTTGCTGATACGCCTCAACTTGGACGATGGGTAACCCTGGGTGCCGCTTCCGAAGATATGCAGTCCATGCCTCAGCTCTTTCTGGACCTGCGATATCGACTTTTGTGAGAACGAGAATGACTTTCGCTTTTCGAGAGGCTAAATAGGACTCGAGCGAAGGCGGGAAGTGGAGCGGTGGACATCTAGAGTCCAAAAGACAAAGAAGGATTTGAGATATTTCTGTTACTCGCCAGCTGCACACTAACTTGTGAGACCAGAAATCAGATGCATATAAATTTAGTATTTACAGTTGTCTCCAAACTTCGAGATTGCGCTCGAAATGGGTGGGAGGACAAGGCATTCTTTCTTGAACAGTAGTATCAGGAATATTTGGGCCAGCCGACGCTAGATCAGTGCCCGACGCGACTGGCTGATTACTTTGATTATGCCAACGTTCCACCATGGCGTCGGTTTGAGTCATCCATCTGCGAAAATAGCCTTGCTCATTGGCATCTACGTCATCTTTTGACATGGTGTACTTCCACTTCGGTCTCCTCGGGACATTAAGCTGATCGTTTACGGGATCGGTGCCAAACTGTGCATGATTGACACCGAGGATGCATACATCAGCAGATATAGGCCTCGTCAAGGGCAAGGTAGCAGCCAAGTGCTTCGTGGTCTCCAGGAAGACAGGATCAATCTTCACGAATTGTGATTGAAGCTTCCTTGCGGCCCTAGATGCGTCATCTGCTAAAAGCCTTGCGTCAAGCGAATGGCCGAGTTTCGGAGGTCTCCTGAAATGCTTCCTGCGCGGTTGTGCTTCAGGTGGGGCCACGTCACCACGTTTGACGGCACGCTTCAGCTGCAGCTCGGCCTTGCGTTGCTTACCCGATCTGCGCATTTGACACAAGTTCAGAGCAGATTGCGGTTAGCTTGGTGGTTTTAAGCTTTCTGGGGGAAGCCGAAAACCTGTCTGACAAAATTGGCCTCGGAGTCTCACGCTGAGTCACGCATGTACAGCGTGCCTGGATAAGTAGTACCTAATTGATAATTTTCAAGGCACTTGCAGTTCTCGAAGGTATCATCACCACAGCTCGCAAGTACTGCGGACTTGTACAATCACCGAATTTCTGGAGAATGCACGACGTGGATAAGCGCGATAGGATTAATGGCTATGTAAGCATTTCGCGTAATGTGCTGACGCAACCGCGAACCCAAGTACTCGGCCTTGTTCGGCAGAACTTGCTTCTTGCGATAGGTTCGGGCACGTCTGAATCTCGAACAACATCACCGAAGCGGTATATAAAAGAACGCGTTGAATCATGCCGGCCGCACATACCATCATTTTACAATTCCTTAATCTTCTTTCCTTACTACCACCACCCACTTATCATTAGAAAATGGCCGGAAAGGCAGAACAGAACGTTGTCATTGTTGGCGGTGGATACGCTGGGTTCCAAGTTGCTAAACAGCTCAGCAAAAAATTGGACCCGAGAAGATACAACCTCATTCTCATTAACTCCCGCTCTTACGCTGTTGCCCTTCCTGCAGCCGTCCGTCTTGTCGTCGACACAGAGTCTAAGTTGGAAGAAACCGCATTCGTCAAGCTTGACAGGATTTACGCGAATGGCAATGGCGAGACAAAAGTCGGTTTTGTGACCGGCATTGAGGCACAGCCTGGCGTCCCTGGGGGTGCCGTTGTCCTTGCCAACGGGGAGCGCATTTCATATGCAGTGCTTATTTTGGCTACTGGCTCAAAATTCAGTGGTCCCTGTGCCATCCCAGAGAACGAGGATGATGTCCTGCCATTTGTTAACGCATGGCGCCAAAAGTTCGCCAAAGCAAACCACGTTGTGATCGTTGGCGGAGGTGCCGTTGGTATCGGTGAGTATGCATAAGGTATCATCGTGTCGTTACTAATGCAATACTTCTCAGAGTTGGCTGGTGAAGTCAAGGATCTTTACCCGGTGAATTTTTTTTTTTCAAATTTAGTCAGGCTATCGCAGTTCTGACGAATTACGCAATACAGACAAAGAAAGTTACCATTGTCCACGGTGGTAATCAGCTTATCAATGCTACGTATGGCAACTCCCTCCGAAAGGGACTGGAGAAACGCCTTCATGCTCGTGGTGTTGAATTCATGTTCAATGAATACATCGATGACATTCCAGAGCCGGGTGTCGTTGGTATCACTACTCGCAGTGGAAAGCAAATTTCAGACGCCGACTTAGTGGTACGTGCACTGTTGTATGTGCACATCTAACCAGCTCACCAGCACATACAGGTATCTGCTCGTGGGGGCCGCCCCAACACTGAGTACGTGACTTCCCTTGGTGAAGATGCTGTGAACGGCCATGGCTTCGTTAAGATCAAGCCAACCATGCAACTGCTCAATCACCCATCCATCTTCGCTGTGGGGGATATCATCGACTGGACTGAGCAGAAGCAGATAGCCAAGCTCATGTGGCATGTTCCCGTTATCGTGGCGAACGTAGTGAGCTTCTTGAACGGAGTCGCGCCGACAAAGAAATACGCGGGTGCACCTGAGATTATTGTGATCACGAATGGAAAGGTGAGTCAGAAGCCGGGGGAGTTATTGTGGCTTGACCCTGACATGATTCGTTATAGAAAGGCGGCATGGGCTACTTCGGGTTCTTGGGAGGGTTTACCTTGGGTGATTGGTTTGCCTGGCTGGTCAAGTCGAGACATTTTATGATCCCACACTTCAGGAAGGATCTCGGTTACTGATAGTGTTAAGAAGTATTCGTTGGACCTTGGATAGCTGCATACCTTCTACCTAGCTTTTATGGGTGTATCGTACCTCTTATGTTTTCTATAATTGCATTCTAGTCATTATGAGTCCAGGCCAGCTGTGAAAAAATGCAGGGTGATCTAATGAACCCATGATGATGGACGGTCATCAACGTTGATATCAAAACGGCCTGTTAAGTATGTGTGTGAGGGTCCGCGGATGTAATTCGGCGTCGAAGGCTCGATAGCCGATCAAGTTGTCCAGGTTTTTTGTAACGAGTTGTGTATCAGATGATTTGCCAGCTCGAACACTGCTTGAAAGCAGCTTTGATGACCATAAAGAGGAAGGTCAGTGCTAGTCTGTTGTTCCCTACCTACTAACGTTAGATTTAATGATAGCCTGTCCCACGCCGACTTCATCGCAATAATATCATAGCCCTTCTCAAAACACACGTTCCGTTTTCCACTACACGATTCGCGCCAGGACTAGGATTTGTTTCAGGAGTACAAGTACAACACTCTCTTTGTTGCTCCTTCCATCATGCCCCCACCACGTCCAAGCACAGCCACAACAATGGCACTTGATTCCACCAGCGGCAGGCGTGTTCCTCGAAACAGGGACTTTCTCAATAAACATGGTCACCGTCATCATTCCTATGACCCAGAGAAAGCTCCATATCCTCTAAGTTACGATAGACAAGTCCTAGAGCTGTGAGTTTGTCCGTTACTGTGTGCCTGACCGGCGGCTAAGCCCGTTATAGGGAGAACATGGATCACAGCTTCGTCATGCACGTCAAGAAATCAGTTTCGGTCGTCCAATTTCCAGATCACGACTCTCCAAAACGCTCTCTCGATCTTGGCTGTGGGGTAAGTCACGTCTTACATCACATCTTCTTTCAGTTACGTGACAATGCTTGTGTGTTTCATAGGGGGGAACGTGGATACTTGATGCTGCGAAGGAATGGCCAGATTGCGAATTCGTAAGTACTTCTATTCTTGATATCAGAATGGAGTTTACAAACGCCACAAAGGTCGGGTTTGACCTCGTGGATGTACAAGGTCCCAACATCATTACTCGAGCCAGATGTTGCGAATCGCATCTCGTGGGTCCACGGTAATTTGTGAGTAATACATTCGAGCCAACGTGTAAACCGGTCTAAGGAATCCCTTGATGAGTTTGACGACGAAACTCCCGTTCGACGATGACGAATTCGACCATGTTCACATGCACGGCTTAGGCCGGGGTATCCCTGAGAACAAGGTATGTTAGCATATACTCATACTGTATTAATGGACACATTCTGAACATGCTGGCTCCAGTGGGGTGTTCTATTTGAGGTGAGATCGTTCTCCTCCTTTGCAGCTATATCTTGATTGCCTCCCAAGGAAGTGAACCGTGTCCTACGACCGGGTGGGGTTGTTGAAGTCCTCGAACATGGTACATCATTATATTGCCTTCACGTCTCCCTATTAACTTATCCCAGATATCCTATTCCCTACACTGCCTACCTGGTTTACGGCACCTTTGCGAGCACGCAATAAGCGTTCAGATTCTGTTCACTATCCCAACGGCTCGCATAATCGCACTGACAAACTACCCTCGTCACAACCAGACATCCCTCCCCTACCTCATGACCATGCACTACTCGAAAGCTTGTATTATGCTATATTTGAGAACCGATTTATCAACTTACGTCCAACAGGTATGTTGTACTGTATGTGTGTGATCTCAATTGCATCTGACGTGCATCAGCTATTCTCCCAATATATTTCACCTCGAATTTCCGTCGCGTAATATCTGCACCTATTGTCCATTTCCGCATGCCTGCATTACCCCCTTTACAAGCATTACCACAACCGTTACCACCAAATGCGCTTCTCATGGAAGCTTCGTTATCCTCGGACAGATCTGAAACCACCTCACAACCTCATGCGACTCTCACCCCTGTCACACCTCGTCCCTTCGCCGTCTCATTCTCGTCTACTCACTCCTCTGCTACAAGTAAATCAGCGTCATCGGGGGAATCGTCGTTATTCAGCAATATGGAGAGTTCCACGCTTTCATGCCCAACAACGAGTCCCACGGATTGCTCGCCGCATTTACCAGTACTCTCGTGCAATACAACCAACACCTTGAGCTCTGAAACAGAAACGGCTCATGTCATGAAAAAACCGCTCTATATCGTTGATAGTTCAGCGGCTGAGAGTACGTCTATGGGCGTTGCAGCTTCACAGTCCCTGATTCCTCTCGATGAGATCGACAAGCTTAGCGAACGTTCACTCGCTATGCAACTATACTGGTCGTATCAAAGTGTACTGGGGTGCCAAGAGGCCATGTACGAGGAGCTCTTAGATCGCACGAGGAATCGTACAGGGCAATTAACAGAGTGTGGGTGGGATACCGATCTGGAGCTATCCGAACTTGAGAGTCGGACGAAGTTCGAGATACTGATAGACCGCTATAAGCGGTGAGCATCACTTTCTCTGATACATGCTTATAATTGCTGAACCAGTTGCGTAGCGATATGCAGGCGCGAATATCCTTGTGGTGTTCACTTGCTGAACTGGGATGGTCTGTTCCTCCGCGGGAGGCAATGTCGAAGGCAGAACTTGTGGAGGAGGAGAGACTCTATCAGGCTATGCTTAAAGCGCGACAGTTTTCCTCTGAGGAAGACCTGTACACACCCTGCCGGTCTGTGCGGATATTCGTGGGTTACAAGGATATACAGTGATTTCACTGCTTCCTGATGTTTCCATTCTTATTCATGTTATTTGCTTTGGTGTTTATGTATATTCCTCTTGGAGCGTCGAGACTCTCTTTCGAGGATGATGCGCTGTATATATTAAAAAGGTTGTCCTTGTAGCAATATGTATACGAGGTTTGTAGCGGCACCGTGTTCTGCTATAATGACAGTGTTTTGCATAGAGTGAAATTCCGTTCGATTTCCTTTCTGGGACATAACCGGCAAACGCCGCCGAAGTGGCGGTGACATTTTTTACAAAAGTCCTGTGAATGCTTCGCGATCGCTCGAAATCTCAGAACGCTCATGGCCGCGGTCAAGGTCATAAATCACACTCCTTTCGTTCCCCGTCTACCGAAGGATGTCCCACTCCCACCAAGTCCTGCAGAATCGACAAGTCCACCACCCCCGGTGAAGAAGAAATCGAGAAAGAGCAAAACCAAGGAGAAGGAGAAAGTTAAGGAAGGCGTGCAGGGGATAAAGAGGCAGGGAGAGCAAGAGAGGGGGAATACGAATGAACAACACGAAAACGAGATGCCACAACCAGAGCCGCTGAAACCTCTGACATGGGCATCCCTGACTGATTCGAACTCCAATTCACATCCACCAATATTCACGAAAGACGGGAGGTGCGTAGATTTCATGGACATACGACATATCCGATGTAATTAATCTGCTTGTTTTGATCAGCCACTTCTTTTCTATTGTCAGGGAAAGAATCAAGATACATTCTACATCATCTGGCAAGGTCATTTCTACATTACCAGGACCACAGGATGATGGTCACCAGGATATCATCACATCTGCTATACTAAGTGCAAACAATGCATTTCAGCTCATCACCGTATCCCTGGACGGCACCATCAAAGTCTGGGATTTTCTCGAAGGCATATTGTTGCGCACGATCAATCTCGAACAGCCTATCCATCACGTGTGCGGGCATGAAAAGATAAAAGATTACGTTTTTGTCGCCACTGCAAAAGCGAAGAAGAAGGGAAGCAATGATGGTAACGGTGAGTGCTATGGTCTGTAACGTATAATAAGTTTTTCATTTGCGGTGCAGAACAACTAAAATCACACCGGTCTGCAAAGGCTTCTTCCGAAGAGAGCTGTATCATCTTGCGTGTGTCGCTCAAGCCTCAAAATCCTGCTTCAGGCGCGAAATGGCACAAGTCATCTCAGATCACGCCAGTTGGCAAGACCAGGTATACGGCTGGACTTGCTGTATCTGCAAGTGGTGAATGGTTGATTGCGGTCGCTGGTCACAAGGCCTACGTTGCACAAATGTCTGCACTGAAGTCTGGATTTACAAAATACGTTTCACCCGATGCATTGACATGTTTGGCGGTCCATCCATTAGAGGACTATTTTGCGACGGGGGACGCAAAGGGTGTCGTGCGGTTATGGTACTGCTTGAACCAGGCCAGGCCAGTAGTTGCTAACGTAGAAAAGCGATCGCAAACGTCTGAGCTTCATTGGCACGCCCATGCAGTTTCATCTGTTGCATTTACGACGAACGGGGCGTATTTGTTATCTGGTGGTGAAGAAGCTACTCTCGTCATATGGCAGCTGCACTCTGGCAAGAAAGAGTTCGTGCCCCGAGTTGGCTCTCCCATCAAAAATGTTGTGGTCTCACGCAGTTCCGCTGCTGAAGAAGAGTATCTTCTCGGGCTGGCGGATGCAAGTTTTGCATTTATCAGTTCTGCCACGCTCAAGTTATCGCGAGTTTTTTCTCGCATAAAACTAGGTGCGTCCTTCTATATGTCATATGAACCTGCTCAATTACATCGTAAACTCAGATTCTGCCACGTCAAGTGCCTGGGCGTCCTCGTCCTCTGCCACACCACTTGCAGTCCACTCGCTGTCATCGACACTCGTTCTCCCCTCTTCCCATCCTTCTTCACTACAAACCTATTCTCCCTCGTCATCCACGCTCGTCGCAGAGCTGGAGGTGTCGCCTTCAAATCGAGTGTCAAGACAAGAAGAAAAGATGTTAGAGCCTTCACGAGTAGAACGTGTGGTTATCTCGCCGTCAGGAGAGTGGATGGCGACTATCGATCGGCGGGAAGGAGATGAGTCATTCCGTGGCGAGATATACCTCAAGATATGGTGGTGGGACAAGAAGTCTGCTTTTTGGATATTGAATACCAGAGTAGACCGGCCACACGGCTTGAACAAGGTCACATCTATGTCTTTTAGTCCGTCCGATGAAAATTGGCTGGCGACCACTGGTGAGGATATAAACGTCAAAACTTGGAGAATACGGAGTACGAAGGATAAGAAGGGCAATGTGGAAGGTATGTGCAGATGTTCATGTGAACCTGTAGTTTGTGACGGCCTTTTAGTTTCCTGGACCTCGAGATCGTCTTTTGGCTTCCGTCTTGAGATGCCCAGAGACTCAGCTTGGTCTCCGGATGGCTCTCTTCTGGCTGTTGCGCTCGACGGCTTTGTGGCATTGTATGATTCAATATCGAATGCACTTCACTTCACAATAGTGTGTTCAGAATGCCCAAAAATATCGTCCGTACGCTTCATCGGGCATCATGGCCAGTATATTGCGGTTCTTGGCGGCCCCAATCTTGTTGTCTGTGATATTATCAACCGCTCTGGTGCGTCTCTTCACTTGATTGACGATCTGCATCAAATTAAACATTGAACATACTACAGTACGTTGGCATCGTCGGCACAACCACCCTTATGTCACTCTTGTACCTCACCCTTACCAAGATACCTTCGTAACGATTCATCGTTTACCCTCAGACACGACTAATGAGCTCATGGTCTACTCCATCTCGTCGTCGACTCCCCTGCTTTCACAGACGTTACCGTTCGGGATACGAAATTTAGTTTGGTACCCCGTTCCAAATCGCGTCGCTCGCAGCCGGAAGTTTTCTCTTGTGGGAATTACGCATGCTTTCGGTGTCGTGCTTCTAGGACACGACATCGACATAACCGATGAGGCAAGTTTGTCAACGAAAGCACTCCAGAAAGGGCTGGCGGTGCCCAAGCAATCTCTCTTCGAGGAGATGTTTGGTGTACCGGCTCTTACCGACGTCTCTCACAATGCTGTCTCGTCGACAATCGATACCTCCCTTCCCTGGAAAAGCAGTGAGACGGGAAGTGTCTTTGATGCCCCTGCTTACCTCATGCCGCCGATGGAAAGTCTGTTCGAGCCGTTGATCAACGGCTTCCTCAAGCTGCGGCTAAAGGAAAGTGTGGACGAAGAGCATCAGAGTGGCATTCATGGATGTTGCTGATGAAATGACTGCTGAACCTATGGACATCGAAGAACCTGCTTTTATAGAGATGGGCAAAGTATCGAAGGATGACATCCTTGGCACATTTATACCATTCTTCAAGGACATCACAGGTAAATGATTCTCACTCAGTCGTCCCTTGTGAACGGCTACTCAACGGATTTATTCAAAGGTCTGGCCTGATTACCCGTTCCATTCCGACACTCGTCCGGTCGCATTGACACTCCCAACTACTCCATCTTCCCATCATGCGAAACCTGCACCCCGAACAGTTGCTTCCCAAAAGCCGAACCCTAATGTATCCTCCAAAAAGCAAGCTTCCACGCCGTCTGCGCCAGCCAAGACTGGCAAAAAAAGAAGTAGACATTCTCTAGTTTGAATATAAAATATCTATTATCGGGCACAAGGTGTAATTCATCCAGCCGCGTGGACACCTCATCGAGATTGTTGTTTCAGCACATCGCATTTTATTTTTAAGACGTTGTTGCATTTTACCCTCACACTTCGCATGTTGCCGATGTAGCCAAGTTTCTATACTGTTGTTGATATAAGGAATGTTGTGTTGTGTTTCATTTCATGCTCGTGTTGTAAGAATTATTGCCTTCTCAACTAGTACTACGCCTATTTCTTCCCAGCATCGCGTCCTCTCAAAGAATGTTTGAAGCTCAACAGGAGCGAAGCTCCATGGATCACGTCCTGTGAAGGAGTAGGACTGATGGACAAAGACGTGCTGACCTTTCCCGCGGCAAATGAGAGTAACGAAAGTGCTGAAGTGGTGCGTGGATTTGATGACCCAAATGGCGGCCAGAACCTGCTCAAGCCGTCGGCGGCGCTACCATTATCTCTTCCTGCCCGTCTGCGTTTCGTCTGTCTGTCGCAAGCCCATTCGAGTGTCAGGCCTCTCTTGCTATATCGTACGTCCTTTTTATCGCGGGCAGGGCTACGAACTTCACTCCTTCTGTCGGACACTGAACTTGGAGCTGTTGGTGATGAAGGAAGGTGTTGCCACAGTTCCTGGACGCCGGTTGTACTTCCTGCTGTCGGTTGTGCTTGATCTTTTTCGTGCAAAGCCTCCAGCGATTTCGAAGACATCAATGAACCTAAGGAGTTGAGGAGAGGTTTGACCTGCAGTGATTTCTTCGGTGGATCATGATTGACATCGCTCTTTTGTTCTTGCGGGGATAGTGTTATGCGTGACTTCTCAGAACAAACAGGCGGCGGAATCACAGGTTGTAGGGTATCGTTTACCGATGGCGAAGAGACACACCGGAGCACTGATAGAGATTGCACAGGAAGCTGGTGATCCAGGGTTTGGGAAACGACATTCCGTATCTGAAGCGGTAAGCAAGGCGCGCTCGGTTGACTACGTTTTGCCATTTGGCGCTTGTTTTGGAACCAGATCGTGATGCTTTTGTAATCCCTGTTTACCGAGGTGAGTGGTTTGCGTGGCGAGAAAGTTTGCTGACAGCCTCCTACATGCCAAGCTCGCCTGCAAGTTGATTCTTCCTGTGCCTTGACGGATGCGTGTCTTTTTGATAGAGCGATTCCAGATGCATAAGCTGTGTGGGTGACATGCGGTGCCTCTTCCTCAGAGAATCGATCCGTATTTCTGCTTCTGCTTCTGGCGATGCCTGATTGACGTCGGGCTGCGGAGCGGGTATCATGTTCTCTTTGTGTTGATTAGGAGTTAGGGTCTTGGATCGTCGCGTTGAACGAGTGGTACGGGTAGTAGATGTCATAGAGATGTGCGTTATTAGAAGTAGGCTGTGAGGGAGTAGAATGATGGTCCAAAGAAATGTGTAATAGCAACACGACCCAGCGGCTAACAAGTCCAACGCGTCACGGTCACGTGGACAAAAAGACCCATTTAGATTTTTGCACTAGAAAGGTTTCATTCTATAGCTCATGCTGACTGGAAAAGAATAGGTGCAATAGATATAAATAATTTTATACATGCCATGGACAGTATGATGCAGTAAAGCAAATATCTCGTAGGTATCAAATAAAAACCGAATAATGACTGAAATACAACAGCTTCCTTAGTAGGTATTGCACACGAAGAGAAAGGTATATAATTACTGATGATAAAATATTAACGACGCGCCATAAAACCAAGGAGCGTCAAGGCAGCTTCGACATCCTCTGATTGGGGAGGTTTTCTCAAGTCAGAAAACAGGGCTTTGTTGTTCTCCTGTCCACTAAAGCGCGAGGGAGAATTGCTCTGGGGAGAGAGGTCGATGCATCGGACACTAGAATCAGGGGTGAGGGCTTCATATGACCCATCATCTGAGCCACCGCCGTGACTCAAAGAGGGGAGACAAGGGAGGTCATCTTCCTCTTCTCCATCGTCAACCCGCTTGTCTCGCCTCGCTTTGAGACAGGCCCATTCTAACGAACGCCAGGTCTTTGATCGTGAGGGAAGGTCAGCCAGTCTAGCTTCCTCAGCACCTGGGGAAGACTGCGAAAAAGCGGGGGATGATGGGATGTGTTTCCATAACTCTGAGGGACTCGGAGACGATTGGGCAAGGACGTTAGTAGTCCGTGGAGTGAAAGGAGTGGGAGGTGCTTGATTGGCGGATAGGAGTAATGACGGTGATGAGGGTCTCTCAGATAACTGAGCGATTTTATCAAGCGAAACAGAGAAGGAAGATATGGATTTATTAGGACGGTGCTGTTTCAAATGACGCGATTGAGGTGCGTGAATTTTTGGAGGATTATTCTCATTCCAGATGAGGGATTTTCTCTTCTCTGTCTGGCGTTTGTTTTGGAACCAGTTGGTCACAGACTTGAGTTCCCTAAAGTACAGGTCAGTTCAAGGTCTACTACTACTCATATCGTATCAACGTACATCCCGAACTCCGTAGCCAAAGCGAGGCGCTGCTCCCGAGTTGGATGGTGAGACAGTTCGAGTAGTTGCTGGAGAGCCTTGAGTTGCTGGGGGGTGTTGCGTCGTCTGATATAGGGTACATGTGTACTAACAGGAGGGTTTGCTTCTGAGAGTGACATATCAGCGATATCGGACGTATTTGAATGAGTTACAGTCAAGATCGTTGAGGAAGAGGCAGACCGTTGAAGTGGGGGCATGGTGATACAAGGAATAGAGATGTACGATGTGTGATTATGTACTTAGCACATACGTTTGCTGTGTGCTGGTGGTGGTGACAGTGTGAAGTAAGGTCATAAGGTTTGATCTGTTCAATACGCGTTACGCGACATGGTTCAAATAAGACACGTAACCACGTGACCTAAACACTCTGGTCACGTGTAGCTTAAAAGAAATCACACATGTAAACTTCAAGTGCACGAATGAGATGATAGATTGCAATGGTAAATTATAGTATACAAATGTTTTCCTATGTATGTCGCTACAGAATATATCATTCCAATAAATACTTTCCTCTCTAGATCGTCTCTCCATAACGATCGCAAGTCGCCAACGCCCTCTCCTCAGGGGTAGTGGATCCCAGAGGCGCGATGAACAGACCCACGACCTGTTGAATCATGTCCGCTTCCTCCGCAGTTACGTTGTTGACGTACGGAGAATTCACATAGGCCCTCTTTAATGGGGCGCCCAGCTCCTTCCTCCTAGCCACCCACTCCGCTATCTTCGTTCCAGACAATTGCTGGAATTCTAACGTCTGAAGTTTTGGACACAGAACTTGACGGTTCTGCGGGAACGACTGAGTGTCTGCGTCTTTCCCAAGTCCATATTCTCGAGGGTCTTCGTTAAATGCCTCTATGACATGCCAGTTCATGGAGGCGATCCGTAGATAGCTCAGGTAAGGTATCGCGTATAGGAACCTCACCATCGCCTTTGTCCCCTTCTCTGTGGGACTAATGTTGACTGTATAGAGCGTCAGGAGTCGCAGCTCTCTGTACCGAGCAGTTATGGCAGCAATCATTGTCGTATAATCTTCGCCTGTCAGGTTCATTAACGTCAGATCGCGAACGTTTGGTGCCTTGAACTGAGATAAAATGTAGCACGAGTACACCATGCTGAAGCCGCCTATAATGAGAACCTTCAGGTAGGGAAGGTTAATTGGAATGTGATCGGGCATTCTAGCGCTGGGTTGCGGGCCTGCGCCGTCCAAAGACAACTTCTGCAAGCGAGGGCAAGCTAGGAGAACCTCACGAAAGCGACTCAATGTTGGCGCAACATTCATCGCAATTTTCCTGAGGTCGATGGTAGATAGGTTGCTAAGTGGAGTCGCGTTCCAGTCAATATGAACGCCGCGGAGGCAGAGATATTTTAAGGCCCGAGTCTGGCCACCGAAAAGAACAGTAGGTGTATGTCCTGGCCCGAGCCATACCAAAGGTTGTCCCATCCTATGAATTTCTAAACGTTCCATGTTGATGGCCTTCCCAGCATAAGCTGCTTCTTGCAACTTGTCCAAAACTACGAGTGCAGGGGGCCAGTTGTCAACAACAAGCACAAGCATGCGAATCTGAGAGACTTTGACAAGGAGTTTGTCCATGAGCTCTTTCATCTGTTCGGTAGTAAATCGATGATCGTCCTCCTTGTACTTCCAATCATCATCTTTGGACTTCCAGTCGGCATCATGCTCGTTGATGCGGATGTCCAACGGTGCACCACCTGCCCTCCTGAACCACTCCATCGACCGTTCATACGGAGGAGGATCGCGGAACCAGATAGCACTCCAAAGGGTGCAGTCTTCGATCATCAACCTGCGCCATTTGGCACATACCGAAGTGAGTAATAGGCGAATGTGCGTGCCTTCATCTGGGGTACTGGTTGACCAAACAGCGATACGAAAGATGTGTGTAATGATTTCGGGTGGCAAGTCATTCATACGAAAATTGCGCCAGTAAAAGATGTTACGTTTGAAGCGCATGTCGTCATAAAGGTAAATGTAACGGGGATCATCACTCGCGGCCGACCCCTGACGTTGTATGACGCGCTGTATTTGCGCCATCTTGTGCATGAACATTGTGGAAAGCAACATATCCTTGGCAGAGGTGTCTGTTGTTCCAGGCGGAGGGAGCTTCTTCAGATGGTCTGACATGAGAAATTCCTGCCGTTTCTTGTAATCTGCTGTGCCCATGATGGCATGTTTGGGCCACCGGTTCAGAGGTACGGTCATATGCATTTCGACGGCATCAAGCACAGGATGCTGTGTGCACACTTCATAAGCAATTCACAGAAAGACGAGATGAAGTTACATACCAACGGAGCCGGTCGAACCGGGTTGAGGTCTGACATAATGGGGTCAACTGTCTTTTCGGTTGGTTTGGGGTAAAATGACATGATGAAGTGCGGATTATTATAAGATAGTCGGGACGGATAAAAGATTGAGGGAAAACGAGCAGAGTAACAATTTTAGTTTCTGATAATGTAGCGGCTGAAGAACAATGAGACACAGACAATGTGGCTTTATACGGTCCACAGTGGCACGTCGATTTTCTGGTATCATTGGCAATCGATAGGTGACCTGTTGGTGGCCTGTTTCACAGGCAAAGCGTGTTGTTTGTCCTTGTGGGCGCCCGAAATTCACTTTATTTGTGCTGGGAAAGCAGCGGATTATGCCTTTCAGTCTAGAAGATCATTACGCAGAAAAAGAGCTTGGAAAGAGCTGCACTTGCCCGGCAAAGACGGTCATGCAGCGCGTTTCAAAGAGCGCAATGCGTATCGGATACCAGGAAGACGCGACCTATATTCGTTCAAAGTACCACGATAATAAAGGATCATTCGTACGTTCGCAAGTTTCCAGTGGGCACCTCCATAACATAGCAGGTTGACACAATGTTATGGGCAAAGCCGATACCGCTCTTCTATAGGTGCCTGTAATCACAGAAAGGGGAAAAGACGCATGCTCGTCACGGAACGTTCCACCATGGCGCATTCCGAAAACAAAAACATTTCCTTCGGACACGGACGAGCTGGTCAGCACAAAGCAGCGTGAGTGCATGTATGGGTCGCCTCCTTGAAGTAAAGCATAAGTTACCTGATATTGCGGACATGAATTGTTCTCCGGAAGCAATTTTTGCCGTGGCGGGAAACAAATTGCTGATGTCTTGCTTTGTGCTTGCTCGTCACTTTCCAGGAAACCAAAAAAACTGTCCGCAATATCAGGTAACTTGAATCTGTCTCATCAGAAACCATGCTTTCTGCATTCACATATTTTCATACAAAATTTCTTTGAAAATACCAGTTTTATGTCTCGGACTCGACATGGCACACGATTGAATTTTGTGTATTTAACATCCCCAATATCAACCAACAATTGTTCTTTGCAAGCCCGATGGTTTGTTTAGTCTCATCGCGGTCTTTCATCACGGTGCACGAGGCGCAGCCTAGTGTTCCTCTGTTCAGACACCCCGTGTGCATTGTCCACGAGCACCCAGCGACCCGCTATTGCCCGGTTGCAACGCCTTAGGTTTAATGGTCTTGTGATTTATAATTTTCTGTGTCTGTAAGATCCGACCTTGCAAAAGACAATGATTGAAGTCAATAAATATTTATGGCCTCCGAGGACATCAAAAGACAATAGAGTCACAAACGTTGCATAAACACATTGAATTTACAGTACTGTACCGACGATATAACTTTGGCATAACTAATCAGAATACAAGAACTCGTAATACAACAGTCAGAAAATCAGACTAAAACCCAAGAATACAGTCAAGAGTCCGCATCATACATCGTACAACATCACATGACATCTAGGCCCAAGCACCAGGGATGGGCTCCCTGGAGCTGCTAGCCCGAGGTGCAAAAGAGGAAGGAATAAGCTCCTCAATCAAGTTAGTCACAATGTCATCTTCAATGTCTTTAGTAGTGGGAGGATGGGCGACCATCTGCTCCGACACCTTGGCGTTCAGTTTCGGATATGTGCCTTCAGTAAAACCCATCTACAAACCCCTTCGTAAGATATCGAAGAGACAGAAAATAATAATAGGAATACCTCAGACAATTTCTTCATGATGCGCTGCCTGGAACGGTCCTCGAGGCCGCGGCGTGCAGTGTGTCCGATGGTGTGGCTGCGCCTAGGGACACTGAACATCTCGAGTTGGGGGTACAAGCCCCTAGCATTGCTTACGATATGAACCTGAGGTGTAACAGGTGTGACAGGCCGAGAGGGCGCAGGCACGGCTGTGGATGGAGGTACTGACGTCTGCTCATGGACTGGGGTTGCCGCGGGAGGTCCTTGAGACACAGATGTATCTGCGCCACTCACGTTGGGATCCTCCGTCACATCGAAAACGGCAGGTAGCCCGGAGACATCATTGCTACAGATCCGATTTAATATCCTCCTGATCACTATGAAGAAGAGAAGCGAAATACCTTCCACTAGGTTCCTGTCCTTGTTCGCGTTGCTCTGCTGATCTCCTGCTGGCCTTAGCTTGACGATACCTCTCCTTGCGCATCTTATAGTCGGCCTTGGCGCGTTCAACATCAGCCCTGAGCTCCTCTTGAGTGGGTGGAGTGCTTCCGAATATGCCGGAGCCAGACAATCCATCTTCCAGTACAGGAGGGGGTGGTACAATGGGTGCAGGTGGCGCGGGAGGTGCGCTAGGAATGGGAGGAGGGATGGCCGGTATGGCCAGCCCTAAATTTCCCAAACGCCGGTTGCGTGCTTCTGCCAACGTGGTGCGGATGTCACTCGTCCTTGCACGAATTGCATTGTGATGATCCACATGCGGACCAACCTCCTTGGGCCCCCTAAAAGTGCCCCAAAAGCTTGGATGCGGACGGGCATGTGAACTATCCTCCTCCCGGGACTCGTCGAAAGAACCCCGAGCGGATGGAGGCGGACGAGGCCACACATGACGGCGACCAGGCGGCGGCGGCGGCGGAGCGCCCCAGTGATGATGAGGATGAGGGTGGAAATGACCTGGAGGGGGAGGTCCTGGATATGTGGTAAATTCGCGAGGACGGAAGCACTGGGGCTCAGGAACAGATTCCGGAGCTGTGGGTACATCTTCAGCGGGAGGTGGCCGGAATGGCTCAGTCGTTGTCCTAGCAGTTTGGACGGCTTCGCCGACGACACGGAAAATTCCACCAAGGGCATCTGCAACCCTGGCGCTAGCCTCCTCTTCCGCATTCTGAATCTCTTCCACGGTCCGACCAGTTTCCTGCTGAATACGCTCGGCAGCGCGAGAGAGTGCATCACGATGCGCAGTCCAGTATGTCCCATTTGTAGCATTGGAAACGATGTTACGAAGACCCTCTGATAATTCTGGGTGAGAGGAAATGATACCGGAAACTGCCTTCAAGAAGGCAGCTACGTCATGAGTGAGAGTTGATGCTCCTGTGCCGCCCAAAGTGGGGAGGGCAGGGTCGTCAATGGCTGTGTTGGAATCTTCCGTGGATTTCAGCACAGCCTCAGGAAGAACCTGCCCAGAAATGACGGGGGTACTCTGAGCCTGGGCGGGAGTGGCTGTCCCATCGACCGAGACAGGAGACTTGACATCACCGCCAAACGTGGAAGCTTGATCAGAGTCATAAACACGGGTCTGTGGCTGCAGTAGTGCATCGTCACCGAAAATTGAATCGGTGGACAAAGCATCGTCTTCAACTGTAGGCTGCATCGCGACGCGGGACTTGCCCTTCTCTGCGCGGGAAGTAGGCATAGTAAACGTCCCGTTTGAGCGGGTAGTATCTCCAATGGCGTATTCTTCGTCTGTGTGATTAGACTTCTTGGAGACACTGACGTCACTCTCGAGAACCTCCACGAACGCATGTGGGCTCTCCGGAGAGTCACTAGACAAGAAAAGACTACCAAGGCTACCAGGGAGACGCTGCCACTCGTCGTCGACCTCCCAAATGAAAGGCAGCGACTCCTGTTCTCCGAATGTGTTCCGGAAGTGAGATTGCTGTGGGGGTGCGGTATGGTGGCGGGAGGGCGCTACATCGGTGGACCTAAGGGAGCTGAGGTCCTGTACCGAAAGTCTGATAAGCTTGAATTTAGCGTCACCGAGGGTACTATAGTAGTCCTGCAATTCCTCTTCAGAGCTGAAAGTTACTTCGTCCAAATCTTGGTCAAGGTAGGACACCCCAATATTATCGGTTGCAATACCGAACGTTTCATTGATCTTTGAGGATAGAACGGCCCAACTAGGATGCGTAGGAAATGTCAGGCGACGAGTGAGCCCGCCTTGTTTCGAAAGCTTGAATTGCGCAATTGTAGCCATGGGGGATGAAAGGAAGGCGCTAATTGTACAATGTTACTAACTATCAGGAGATAAAGCCGCTTTGAAACTCCGACAGCACTGCGGCCCTCTGCGCCCGCAGCAAGTGAAAATTACAAGGTCACATCCACGTAGTATGATCCGTCTTCTCAGTTCTCGAGCATTCTACACTTGTTCTACACTTCTATCCATCACACCCCTATGCGAAGATGGCCAAGCGACCATCGATGTCAGCGGGGTCATTCAACTGTGGAGCGAATCTAGATCAGTTGTCATGCAAGTGGCACCTCGAGTACACACGCACCCTGAGGTTAATATTCAGTGCACTCAAGGCTGCAAGCTCGGATTCCGAGAGGTCGAAAGAGTTGCAGTCCAAGTTTGCTGACAATCTGTCAAGATTGTTGGACTTTGGAATGACAGCAATGCCTCTCTGCGTAGCCCAACGCAGCAAAACCTGAGCTTCGGCTGTGAATCATCTTACGTCAGGTTCCGTCACAGATGAATGATATTGTACGCCCACTTTTTCCATGCGTCTTGGCCGCAGCGGAGGTCACGTCGTGTGTGAGGAGCGAAGGAGTACCTTTATCACCACCAAGTTCGACGTAGGATTGGGGCCCAAACGACGAGTAGGCAGTCACGGCAATGCTGAACCTCTTGCAAAGTTTGACGAGGGCTTCTTGGGCAAGGTATGGGTGCAGCTCAACCTGCAATACCTGGGGCTCGTACTTGGCATAACGGAGAACGTCAAGGATCAAAGACCCCTGGCAGTTACTGGAGGGTGTTCACCGAACCGCACTGTACAACTTAATTCGCAATAATCACCTCAGGCCAATATTTTTCACCAGCTTCTCATCAACGAGCTCCTCCATTGCACCCCAAGTCTCGTGCATCGGGGTGTTTTCTGAGGTATGATGTCAATCTGAGATACGTCGATCGTAACCCATCACTCACGAGTGTAGACCTTGCCATCATCACCGAACCACTCAGGGGGATAACGGTGGCTAGGATCGACATATTTCAGTGCGACGGGGAAGTGGACGAGGAACAAGTCGAAGTAGTCAATTCCCCAGAGTTTAAGTTGCATCTTGGTGATTTGTTTGACCTGATTCATCAGTCAGTTATTTCGAGCAATGTGTGATGCAGCTGATTTCTGACATGATCGTGAGCATGGAAAGTGTTCCATAGCTATGAAACAATGATGCGCTGAGCTATCATGATAGTGCAACATGTGTGAGAAGGTATCTTGCCTTGGACGTAATGACTGATTCATGAAAAGCAAATTAACTCGTGAGCTGGTTCAAGGGCGAGAAACACTCACATAGGTCCTCCCGCTTGACGAGGCCATCCGCAATAGCTCGGCGCACACCATCACCTGCCTCTTTCTCGTTTCCGTAGTCACCGGCACCATCAAGAAGACGGTAGCCCGCTTTTATCGCGTTGTATACAGTCTAGAAACGCGATAAGAACGCCTGATCACTTTCAAGGATCTGGAACTCACGTCAGCGCATGTGGACTTGGTTACCTGGACAGCAGTTCAGCTCAGGTGTCCAAATTAGTATCAATATAGACTTGCCTTCCAGAGCCCGAAGCTGGAAGTAAATTGGGGTCAATGGGTTCTGATACTGTGTGCAATCGAAAATCAGCACGTACCCAACCACGGGCATCTTTATTTATGAGAATTTAATGGAGTATATATGATCAGCATTTGATATAGACAAATGAAGCGTGACTGACCTTCTGTTGGGTTCTCTTCAAAACAATTGAGGCCATGACTGGTGAGCACGAAATGAAGTGGGAGTATGAGAGTAACGATGGGATCGATTGGTAGATCGATGGGCTCGCCGAAAGACCTTTAAATTTCGATTTGACGGTCCGAAAATTCCCCGTGATATAGAAGATTGTACTTTTTCAGAAAATGCATTGGTGTCCTCGTGAGGCTCAATTATAATATTAATTAAGTTGGGCCATGCTCTCCGAGCTCACGATCGTGAGCGCCAAAGGCCAGTCGGACCGCTGTTGCAAAGGCTTCAGTACGGCACGTGAACTCGCGAGAATAAAATAGAGGGTTCCCTGGGGTTTCCCCGACATTTATCCTGTCAACGTGGCAGGCGACGACGACGAAGAAAACCAACCACACATGCGTGTGACTCATTGAGTCCAATAATTTGTCGTGTAGCAGCTGTTCACACAACGAACTTCTCCTTCTCCCATCGAGTGCGTCCGATCTTCGTTATTTTATTACGAATGTCACATAAACATTTTACCGTCAGCGTGAATGTCCAGCTTGGCACCTGAGGAATTGAATAGTACCAATAACATGCGTTTCTACGTCCTCGGGCTCGGGCCCATCGGCTGCCTCCTCGCACACAACTTACGATCAGTTCTTCCACGCACCCACCCAGTCACTCTCATACAAAAGACTGCCAAGCAGGCGTGGACACCGCAGAACGCAGCTGCAAAAATAACAATTGAAAACCAAGGAATCCGACAGTCCACAGACGGTTTCGATGTCGAGGTGTTCGACAAGCATAGCGGAGCAGGTGGTGGAGTGCGCTTCAACCCCAAGCTTTCAAGGGAGCAGAGTGCCGGATTCACCCCCAGCCATGAAGATTTACGGACAGAACCCATCGAAACATTATTCATAACGACCAAAGCGCACAGCACTGCGCCTGCACTGTCGCATCTAGCTCCACGCCTCAACTCTCGTAGTACCATCGTGCTCTTACAAAATGGCATGGGATTATATGAAGACCTCGTCGAGCGAATATTCCGCAACCCGGAAAGCAGACCGCACTTTATCTTGGCATCAAATACCCACGGAGCGTGGCTCAAGTCAGCCTTCCATGTAGTTCATGCGGGAATTGGGGACATCACATTTGGGATTGTCCCGGATAGCCGCAAGCGTGATTTCGAAGCATCCATGGCAGATGAAAGCAAGCCGCTGTATGAGAGATCACTCAGTTTAGACGACATTACACATCCGGATGATCCTTCATTCGACCAGTACCGCACCCTACGACACACGGTAGCCGTATTACAATCTCTCGATGCTCTTGGGTGCAAATGGAGTCCTATTACAGACGTCCAACTTGCGATGCGCAGGAAACTCGTCGTGAATGCCATCGTGAATCCTCTGACGGCCGTTCTCGGCTGCCGGAATGGCGGTCTATTCAAGGACGACTCGTCACAGAATATGATGCGCAACGTCTGCGAAGAAGCTGCTACTGCTTTCCGTGCACAGATTGAAGCGGACACGCAATCATGGCTCGATTCTCTACCTCCCAGCGTGGACAAGAGTCAGGTGCCAGTGGGGCGTGTTCCAAAAGAACTGGGAGCAGATGCTCTTGAACGCGAAGTCCTGCGCGTAACACACGTAACAAGAGGCAACATGTCATCTATGCTCTCCGACGTCAGGAAGAACAACCCAACGGAAATCAACTTCCTAAACGGCTACCTAGTCAGGCTAGGGGAACAATATAATATTCCTATGCCAGTCAATAAGGCCCTTGTTCAATTGGTCAAGATGCGGTGCTCGATACCCATCGATCAGACGTTTTAGACTCGAGTATTTTGAGTGGGTCTAATTCTATTCTCTCGTCTACATGTTTGCTTATTTCCGCACGAATAGGTTGAGTCATTTGTGTATATACTCAGCCGACAGTGCACGAGAGTCCTTGATAAGCTATCAAGTCGGTACAAACGCTGCATCACCAGACAGTTTAGCGGCTCCGACCTACCGTGGTACCCGAAGATAGAAGTACCCACAATCGAGATATTCTCATTGATCAAGACATGTCAATCACGTCTGGACAGTCTGGACTCGATACGATGTGTGTATTATTAAATGGCTAGTACATGAGGCACGTCCATGTGAACAACCTAGATACAAGTCTAAAAATGCAACGATAAATGGTCCATTCGACTAATAATATGTACGGCGCAAAGTTCACTTCCATTCCATCGATCCAATTATATCAGTGATCATCAGCGTTCGGGGAGCCCCATTTGACGACTCGAGTTGGTCCATCATGCCACGATTCCACTCTCCGACGCGCTAGGGTGGTCATCGTGGAGCCGTGGGTGCCAACGAAGCCAGCTCCATTCGATTGGATGACAGCGTCAATGAACACCGGATACCTGACAACCACAGCTTCTAGCATCAGAAGGAAAAGACGGGATCTATTCGGCTCACCACTTTCCATAGATCTCCTCTGTCCGCTCTGTTGTATAATCAACCCACGTCCAGCCCAATGCCCTGACCCCAGACCACCATTCTGGGTCACGTTCGTCGCTCGTCATAATAACTTGTGTGACCTCGATACCTTTTTGTGTGCGCAGCTCTTCTTGTACCTCGGCCACCCTGCGCGCAATGACAGGCAACGAGGCAAAGCACTGGTCCAGAGGTAGATCATTACAGTAATTGCGGAAGTCACCATGCCGTATGTGGATAGATATATACTATCAACAGTTAGACCCATGGAACAACCCTGGACCTGAAGCTGTCACTCACGGGTGGTGTTGGCTCATTTATTGGCACATTCATAGCGCGCCGAGCATGCTCATTAGCAAGACTTTCGAGGCTTGCATTCCAGCGCATATGTTGGCCTACAAATCTCCATGCGGGACCATAGTCTGATTCCCATTCCCATGCATTCTGGGCACCCATGTAGTACAAGTAATCGAAGCATAGTAGCTGATCATCCGGGGGAAGGGAAACCTGATGTTGAGGGGAAGGATAATTCGTTGATTGCAAATTGTTGGCGCGAGCCTCCGGAAATCCCAATGTGGCAAGGGACCAAAAGGACGCATGACTGTCTGTTACGCCGGGAGGAGTCAGCTTGACCCAATCTGGAGTTCGTGTCCACGAGACATCTGTGATCGCCGCCCAGTTAACCACCAGATAGGGGTGTCTGAATATGTCTCACCGAGCTTGAGCCAATTAAGGGAAAAACTTCCCCGAGGTTGGGTCTGGGTCTTTTGGACGCTTTCCCAAAGACTCCAACAGCCAAGGTCGTCGAGAACCTCACTTTCTGAGTCCTTCACTTCGTGCCATTCAATTATGGGACTCTTTATGGCCTGGCTGAGCCGAGGGACGTCAAACACTTCGCCAAAAGCAAATGGAGGTGCACTGTTGTCAACATGAGAAGGGATGAACTTCGCAATTATGGGTATACGCTCTGTTATGAGTGCGAGGTAAATCAAATTTCCCTAGTTTCCGTGAGTAAGCGAGAATGGAAGCGGATCAATGACTCACATAGGTCATCACGTCATTCGCTAATAAGTGACTGCGGTCAGTAGCGCGAATAGCTGTGGGCTGTGGGTAACGTACTCCAGCCTGCAGAAATCCACGATGTAATGTATTTTGTGTCGTTACGAAGGTTATCTGGGACCAGTGTTGTGAAATTCGAGAGAAATGTCTTAAACGAACTGACTGACCTCGGAAACGCTGGGTGGGTGGGCCTTGGACGTACGACTGCGAGTTGAAGGTAGCCGGATACACAGCCGCCTTCTCAATGTCAAAGTCCAGATAGCTCAAGGGCTTGAGCAGAACAACTCCAAAGCTGAGCAAGGAAACGGCCACCAGAACTATGCAGATTGTCCTGAGAGGTCGCTTTCTGCCCTTAACGGATGCCATTGGCTTGGCGCGGAATGTAGGAATAAAAGGGCTCTCCGGGTCGTCGTATGCCGCCTCTCGTGTTGGGCTCTCTCCCAGCAGAAACTCGTCTGATCTTCTGTCCATGACACGTCTAGGCAAGGGTGGGAGCAAGGCTCATATCGATCATTCAGATCAGCATTTGTATAAGCTAGGCCCTAGGAGGGGGGGTACCGATATAGTCCGTTCCGGTGAAGCTGTGACGCGTTGTCGTGGGAAAGTACATGCCACCTCGATGAACCACTAGCAGTTCCACCCCTGATCTACACCTGCCATTTTGAGAATTCCGGTTTCTTAGCTCACCCGAACGATGAACGTTCTGAACCAGCTCGTTTCGGCTGTATGAAAATGACCTAGCGGTATAATCTGTCCCACATTAAAACCACAAGTTGATCCCTGTGTTCTTCCAGTCCCCCCCATTCTGGAAAGCATGAATAACAGGTATTTTGACGCGAACACACCGAAGGTAGCGGCGGTCGTGGGGTTTTACATGTCCGCCGCACTGGTGGTGAGTACCCTATGCCACGCATAATGTGACTCCAGCCCCTAACAAACACACTGGTAGATGGTTTTTGTGTAAGATGGTCTAACTAGAGTGTGGACATTGACTCAACCCTCTGAGCGCAGGAACAAAGCTGTTCTTAATGGTTCACCGGATTTACCGCTGCTATTCCTCCTCCTGCAGCTGCTCATCGCAGTCTTGCTTCTCCACGTGGCGGCCATGTTCATCACACGTGTCGAGATACCCAAGCTCGAGCTTGGAACCGCGAAGAAGCTCGCACCTGTAGTCCTTGTCAACATTATTGGACTCATTTTCAACACACTTTGCCTGCGTGATGTCGAGGCTTCTTTCTTCCAAGTATGTGGTCTCCTATCAATGTAAAGATCGCCGTTGAACTCCACAGATTGCGCGTGGCCTTGTCCTACCTCTGACGATCATTGTATTCTCTGTAAACACTCGCACTGTGCCTTCTATTCGAGTTGGAATTGCTGCTGGGTCAGTTACCATAGGTTTCTTGCTCGGCGTGGCACCGTCTGCAGCAGTTCCCTCCCACGTTGCACCTTCAAGTCTTTCCCTGTTATATGGTCTCCTCTCGTCGCTTTTTATCGCTTTCCATGCTGTTCTTATCAAGTCCTCCCTCCCTTATTGCAACAACTCAACCATTCAACTTGCATACTGGACCAACTTGGGCTCTGCAATTTTCCTTCTCCCTTTCGTCTTGCTTCACAAAGAAATTCCTATCCTTGAGGACCTTATCCACGACTCGAATTGGGACGGACAAGTATTCCTATGGGGGAGTGTCGTGACTGGCATTTTCGGATTCTTACTTTGTATCGCTGGCCTGCTCAGCATCAAGGTTACAAGTCCTATCACACATATGTTCTCTAGCGTAAGCCATCTTCACTGTATACAGAATATTGATGGGACTATATTATTACCGCAGGCCTTAAGATCTGTTATTCAAACCCTGCTGGGTGTCTGGATATTCAAGGATATCATGACGGTGTATGTACTCGATTCTGATCCATAACGTCTTCGAGATGAACTCTATCTTCTCACAGCAATCGCGCAAGTTCTATTCTGGTTATCATGATAGGCACCGTGTACGTGCCTGTATCGTTGAAGTCTCGATTCTTCAGGAGTACTGATGGCACATTCGTTCCTGGTAATTAGTTATTACACCTGGATCAAATCGTTGGAAACCGCACCTCCGCCGCGCAAGGATGTTGACCTCGAGGCTATAGGAAATACGAAATACGAAGAAGATTCTGATGATGGCGAAGCTACGGTAGTTTTCGGATTATCGGAGGAGGATGAGAAGGAGTAAGAAACCATTGACACTCGTGTCCTTATAATAGGCACGGAAATTTGTCGTGAGTGATCATTGACATCACCACAGGTATATTGCTACCCGAGACAATTGTTATTAGTACGATTCTTACAGACTCTTACTTACCGTCTGGCATCAACGTACATTTACGAACAATCATATTACGGACTTGCAAGTCATTAGCTACATATGTTGTGTTTAGCGTCCCTACAGAGGCCTACAGTCAGGTCGGTGACACCGTCAGGGACGACGAAGCTAAGTCGATGTCATGATCAATTGCGCAATGTAGTATGCATCCGTCGGATGCTTTTAAGTCCGAGTGACGTTCCGGAGTCGTCGTGGATGACACAGCCTTGATCATGTTGGGATCCGATGTCGTCGATTGTGATCACGCGATTACTCTCGCACGACGAGTCTTCCGAGTCGAGCCGTTACGCGTTATCATACACCAGTAACGGCATTAGCCCGTCGGTCGGCTATCGATAACCTGGCCAAGGAATTACATCACGTAGAAGTTCTTGAAATTAGTTCCTGGTGGATAAAAGTTAGTACAGGTGCAGTCAGGCATGTGAACCGCAGTCACCTGAGTGCCTTCCATAAATCAAATGCCACGTATCCCCATTTGTCGACCGCTCAACTTTTATAACATCCAAGCTGTCCCGTGACGACAGATGACACTGGCAGTGAACCTCAGGGATCCGTTCTTTCGCTCTGCTCTTGACATGAACTTCGTAAATTGTGATAATAATAGATTTTGAACCACTCATTGCAAACCGAACTTCGACGAACCAGGTCGAGATCGATTTGATCGGCTTCAGTCACATTAGCACTAAACCAGGGCAAGCAAAATGAAATGGTATTGGTATAAGATGCCCTCATATCTCCCCTAAGCGACCAAGAGGATATGGATACCTCACCTCCAGTGCTGTTGGATACCTCGTACAGCGTCTCCGACTCGGACTCGGAGGTGAAACCTCGTAGAAGCTATTGCTCGTCTCTGAAAGATACATGGAAGGTGGAACGCCCACTGGGCAACAATGAACTATCTTACTTTCTTCCCTCTCGCGCGGATGGCGTTAATGACATGTGAGCTTTCCAAGCTATCTCTTCAATATACGGGCATCTCAGGATAGGTTGTATCACCTCGTAGGTACCTTCACTTGGGCTTCGTTGCTCCAGAACATGTCATTCGCCGAGCCCGTGTTCTTATGGTCTGGGCAATCCTTCGTATTCGTCATCCACTCCTAGCTTCAAAGGTCGTCATGCAAGATTATGACGACGTCAGATTTGTGTAAGTTCAACTTCTAACCTGATGTTGCAACCACATGGTTTTACTATGCCCAGGTTCAACCCCCCGCAATCTCCTGAAGATGCTTTGGTTGATGCAGACAGCAATTTGGAATACAGATCTTCAACCAAGGATGGTACGTCCACGTTGATATCACGATTTCTTGAAATTCATGCGAGTCCTAGAACTCATCGATTCATATCTAAACGGAGCACGAACATTGTCGAACGACCGCTTGTCCTATCTTGTTGTGTCTCAAGGAGGCACATCTTTACCTAGCCCCCCTCTAACGCCTCGCTCTACGTCACCGTTTGACGAACCCGAATATCCTTCATATAATCATGACATCATGATTTGTGCCGCTCACTTTTTGGGAGATGGCATGGCGTTGCACCAATTTGCAAACGACTTTTTTGGACTGCTCGGCGGTGACAAAACCATTCTTGAACTTGAGGCTCAGCTGAAGGAGGAGCTCAGCTCCCGATGGGGCACAGACTCTACGGTATGCATATCTTGTTTGGTCTCAAATTTAGCTGAGTAACGACTCCAGAACGCCGTATTACCGAATGCCTTGGAAGACAACTTTACCGTCAGTCCTAGTAGACTGCGCAGGGCAGCCGAAAAGGTCGACTTCCAGTTAAGTCAGCGAAGATTTGTGGTGAATATTGTGCCTTTTCTTGACGAGTGGTCTGTTGACAACTCGGTAGGGCGGTCATTCGTTCCGGCGACAAACAAAGCAGCCTAGGCATACCATTGTTCCGACTGTTTCGTATGACGCTGAGCGGACGAAAAGCATTCTGAAAAGATGCAAAACGCATGGTGTTTCCGTCTCTGCAGCTACGTTTGCTGCATGTAACATTGCATGGGCAAAGATGTGCTCTGAGAAACAAGACTTGTCAATGTAAGTCAAGACATTTCGATTATGCCTTTCATATCCAACATTTGTGCAGGATGATGTACTCGGCTTTAAACCTGCGCCCATATTTCACGGTGAAACCAGCAAATGATTCGTACTGGTTTCTTGCGATCGGCTATTTCAACGTGATTCTTCCAACCTTTATACCTCGGTCGATCGACTTGTCCTCGGTATTCTGGCATCGGGCCCGAGTTGCAAAGGAGCAGAGCATTCAAGCTGCCAAAAACAAGATGATCGTGTCACGTAGTCTCTTGATGACTGAAGAGAGGGGAAAACGGGCTTGTATCTGGGCTAAAGAAGACGATGAAAGGGAACGTGGAACATTTGTCCCCCCCCCTCCTCCTGTTCCGGCCGTGGACACCGCACCACGCACGCCTTCTACTGCATTAATCGGCTTATCCCTTCTAGGAAACCTCGATGGCATATACAAACATGGAACGTTCCCTGCTATCAAGCTCCACACACTAACGACTGGTTCGCGGCAGCGGTCCGGAGGCATGCTGCTATTTGGGTACACGTTCGCTGGCAAGTTGTGGGTCAGCCTCGGATATGATAAAAATGGCTTTGATAAGGTAATGGTGGAGCAGTTCTGGGAGAACATGCTGCAGACGATGGACGAATTGCTTTGAAATGATATCAATACTAATTGTAGCATGGCAGAAGCGAAGGGGAACCGAACTGTGCGAATTTACCCCAAGGACTAGTTAAGTCTACGTATAACCCAGACGTTTTCTCTTGCTATCTATAGTTGTGGACTTTATCCTCGCTTACTATCTTTCTTCCACTCCCACGTAGTTATTAGACGAAGGTCTTCGTCAAATGGACATCCGATTTCCTCGACCTCGTGCCCGGCAAATTGCGTTTCATCGATCGATTACGATCGATCTAAACTATGCCCATCAGGAATACCACGTTACACGTAGGACTTTCGAGAATTTCGGTATCTCGAATTATACAAGCTAACTTTCGCAAGTTATGAAATTGTTCACGTGACCTAGTTAGTATGGATGATTTGTCATATTATGTGCAAGATCATAGAAGCCTACCACTGCGGCGATGACGATACGGGAACTTCCCTTCGACCTCTATGTACAGATTCTCGAGCAGTTAACACCATTGACAGATTCTGACGAGAGCATTATTGTGCTTATATCTTGCTTGAAGACAAGCACTTTCCTTCGAGCAGCTGCATCTGTTTCGAGACTATGGGAGCCGCATTACCGTGCCCGATACACAATATGTGACCCCGCGAAAGAGCAATCGCGAAAGCGATCTACGGGTGGCGACTGGCGACTGATGTATTTTGAGAGGCGACGCATAGACCTCGAGACATTGGAGATATTGCTCAAGATCGTCATGGAACGAGGTGACGGAAGACTGGAAAGAGCGCGAGAGGTCAATACCAAGTTCTCGTTTGACGCATGGAATGTCCTCGAGAATGCCGCAAATTGTCCGCTTCCGGACACATTCCGCGAGCCAGGAGTTCCAGATCGGAGGCCTGTTCCACCTCATGCAGTTCCCCTTCGCTTTTGGGCTCAAATGCTTCTTGGTGCTATTGCTAGAAGTGATGCTGTTTGCACCTGGGGGAAACTTATCTCTAATGACACACCTCAATCGCTTGAGCTTTCATTCGCTTGTATGTCCAGCTTTTTCGTTTACCCTCCCATGAAGGTTCGTAGCTTCAGTTGGTTCATTCTTAACGGTTGCTGAACTCCTTCGAGGTCTTGTCCCAACTTGAAGAACTTGCGACTCTCTGCAAAATCTACTTCATCGAGCATCAAATTCCCCTTGATACGGATGAATTCACAAGTGATGCTGGGAAGCTCAGACTCGTCTGTTCATCAATCTGCGATTTTTTGTGGAGCTGTGGCTTTGAAGCCGCGGATGGTGAGCTCTCCTCAGATATAACATTCTATTTTTTCAACGACGACACTTCAGGAGAGCGGTTTCACATGTTGCAAAATCGGTTTCCTCACCTTTTCTTAACCACGCACCAGGCAACCATACCCATATCACTTGTATATATTTTCGTGTGCATTGCACGAAAGATGGGCGTCACGGCAGCACCTATCGACTTTCCTAGCAGAGTTCTGGCTGTCGTATCATCTCCCCACCCGGATGTCTCAGAGTTTTTCGTCGACGTTTTTGGCTCACGAACACAAGCCATTCTGACGCTCCATGACGATATTCCACGCTTCCTTATTCAAGCCGGAATCCCTACCAATATAATACTTAGCCGCGCTTCCTCCACCTCCATGCTGCTGCGGGCATCACGGAATGTCTTAGCATCCGTCAGCAACTTTCCCGTAGGAGCAGCAGCTCCCGAAGTTGAGCTGCACGCAGCAATCTATGCCAGCCTCATGATCAATGTCATCTTTATGGACGACCGCGGGTATCTCTTGAATATAATGAGACATATCGATCGGTTCCTCCTTGATCTGCTGCCAGTGCTCGTCGATTCATTGACTCCTCTTTTAAATCCACACCTCCAAGAGCAGCTCACGATGCATTGCAAGGCTATCATGGAGGAGGAGCAGGAAGCAGCTACTACTTCTCATCCTCGTTCTGCACTCACACGGGAGGTGAAATTCTTCGTTGGCATGGTTTTCAAGCATGCAGCCCACGGATACGTAGGATATGTATACGGCTGGGATGTGGGTGTTGAGTTGACATGCTGTTTTCATCACTCATTGTATTTGTTTTTCTGTTAGCCCTCCTGTGCAGCGGACGAGGACTGGATCCGTGAGATGGATGTTGATTTTCTCTCCCGAGGGCGTCATCAACCATTTTATCACGCTCTAGATCAGAGTGGCTCCTTGCGCTGTAAGTGTACTCCCTACATCTCAATGCCAGGGCTGATGTTTCTGCGATGCCACAGATGTTGCAGAGGATAACATTAGAGCGACATCTCTAGAACCGGCTGATGTTCACAGAATTTTTACAGACGCACCACGGGCAGGGATGTACTTCGAGGACTTGACCCAAGTTAATGGGAGAGCAAGGTTTCTGTTAAGCCCAGAACTGAATGCATCATATCCTGATGACGAAGCCTTTGGTGATCGGTGGCTCAGACAAGGAGAGGATTGATTACCCATCTATTGGTATTGGATAGTACAAAGGATCAAGAAGAAATACATAAGTACGTGTAGTCCAATCATACAAGGGATCAAGAAGAAATACACAAGTGCACATGCTATGATACAGTTAAGCAATAGAGAATGATAATGCTACAGGCAAGAAGTGGGACGTTAGAGGGAGTATGAACGACCATGCAGAGCAATGCAAAGCAGATAAACCAAAGCGACCCAGAAATATGCTCAAACTCTACCAATGACCAAGTTCGACTTTGTTTTCATCAAAACCAATCTCAAGCCATCGCTGGGGCAAGAGAGACTCATCACGAAGAACCTGGAAACCCACGCGGTCATACACAATCTTGGCGGAATTCTCAACACCGACATATAAGACGATCTCCTTATACTTCTCCAGCAACCTGTTCAGAATGAAGTTAGTTTCATGTTGCAATATTATAGCCGCTAGTACGTACTCGCTGCAGGCATGTCGAACCAGTCTCTCAGCACAGCCTTTACCCCTCCATTTCTCTGGGGTATACACCTTCGAGATGGTAGCAACGCCTTTTGACTTCCGCGTCGCAGCAACGATAGTGGCAATCTCGGGTTTTTCTTTGCCCTTTTTGATCTCGAGGACCCAAACGGATTTGTTTGCAATCAAAAGCTCAGCTTCTTTGCCGGCTTTCTCCTTACTGAGGGTGAACGGTTCCTAAAGAGAATCATTTATAAACTTTTTGACCTTTAGAAAAAGGATGCAATAGACATACCGAAGTTTTCGCAAATTCGCGGCACAGTTTAGCAATCTCCTCAGCGTCCTGTTCTACAGCAAGACGTGGGTCGAGAATTACATCCTCTGATGGACGAGGAGGTCGCTCTTGGCGGACCAATGTGCTTTCGGTACACACCGAGAAAAATGCACTGTAATACGGCTTCTCGATGCGACCAATCCCTGTGAGTCTTTCCCATGTCAGAGCGAAGGCCTCTGCGATGTTCTCAACGGAGAAAATAGAAAAGACTCGCTCCTTCCTGAAGCCAGGCTCCTCCACAAGCGCGCTGCACAGCGCCATCATGGAGCTTTCGAGGAACTCGGGCGTAAACTCAGCAATAGGGATTGTGGGAATGATGAAGAGGGGGTATTTGTCTAGTGGTCCCTCTGTGCAGGAAAGTACGAGGGAGATTTCGGAAGTTCCAGGCTTCGAGTATGTCAACCAAAGCTGTTCAGCAGAATCGATTCTGGGCGTGAATATTTGGCGGCCAAAAACTTTCTCTGCATGGGGAAGAACAAGATTGGCACGAGCAGCATTAGAGAGTAGAGCGTTCCATCCAGCCTCTGAGAGGCCCGTGGAGAGGTCAAAGACCTGAACAGAGGAGAGTAATCCAGGCATGTTTTATGTGAGGATTGGAAAGTTAGAAGGCTATAAGGCTAGGAGGCTAGAAGACAGTGTAGTTGGTTGGACCCTCGAGCCAGTTTTACTTTATAGTCGTCCATCTCTCCAATACAGCACCTGCGGAACTACCTTTTTTTCTCCAGAATCTAACCTAAACGTTCCGATACTCATAGAAAGCACAGGCTGGATAAGAGGATCAACGTCTACGAACGTGAAAACGTGGAGAATAACTATACAGGGATAGGAAAATACAATAAATTGAACGTTGTGGCACAGATAATGGAAGACTCACCGTCCAAGTCCCCCATCCTGTGGCCATATGAGGATTAAGGTACTTGCCTGGCAGGCGACTCCATCATAAAGTATTCGGTTGACGACACTCACCGCTCCGGCGATCATTTCAAGGATACAGCATCGAATCTGTTGTCTTTTCGTGAGACAGTATGTGCTGACGAACGGTCCAAGCACAGGCCTCAGCCTGCCAGTAGTAGTTTGCAATTGCCATCCTGTGGTGGCATGGTGGAGGCCAGCGCGGAGTCACATGGGAGATACGTTGTGAACCGCATGCAACGTATCGGCGACGTTCTCCACGTACTCCGACCTTGTATACAAAGGAGGAATAGGCAGTGGTAGTGATTCCACGTTCAAAAACTGTTCAAGATGAGTGGGAGCGCTCGTTAAAACGTTTCAAGGTCCCTGGTGACTTGACCAAAAAAAAGGTCAGCTATGCCGTAATGCAATCAATGTTTCATCGTGGTCGGAGGTCGTACGAAGGTCATCAGGCCATGCAATGAATTTTACAAGGAACGTTGTCCATAGCGTATATTGAGTGTACTAGTTTGCATTCTACGAAGGTGTTATGTAACACTAGATACATACTACTTATATGAACATTTGAACACCTCTACAGGCTTACACGGCATTCTCTTTGAACACCTTTTCCAAAACGTTTAGCATGGCCAACAACTTTTCTTCGTTGTGCCTCCGACCTACGAGCTGTAGACATACGGGAGTATTATCATATGTGGTTGGGTTCCATTGACTATGAATAAAATTTTCAAGATCATTCCTTGAATGTGGAAGAGGTGGGTAGGTGGCAGATGCCGTGGCAGTGAACCGATCAACGGGAAAGGCAACGCCTGGCAGGTCTAACAGATTCCAATGAGAGGTATAACCCCACCAACTGGTCGTGTTATGGGGCGGAGCCAATGTAGGCGCAACCGGACAGAGAATGGCGTCCACAGGACGTCCACTAACAGTACGTTGTTGCGTAGCATTCCAGTGTGCCAATGCTTTCGAACGGAACGCTTCCCGTTCCAAGTTGAGCTTGAATATCTCTGCAGGCGTATACGGATCTCGTCCCTGTGCGTGTTTGAGGATCCATTCGGTTTGAGGTACCTCGGACTCTCCGCCTGCTCTAATGGTTTCGTGGTACTCCGCTCCGCCATCCAGTAAATACAGCTTCGTCTACGCGAAGAATAAACCCATTAGATTTGATACTGGAAATTAAAGGTATCTTACAATGAGGTCCCATCCATGCTGATGATCCACCGCTTGCCATTCGATCACGTCGTGACCAGCACGTGCCAAGGCGTGTTTGTATTTGTTCAGGGCCTGCGTAATTGGAGGATGCGGTGTAACAACGCCATCATCAAAAAGGATAGCAATCGCAAGTTTGTCCGGTAAACCTTCCCCGTTCGCCACACCTCTTTTCCATGGCATTTCTAGGAGTGGAGGTTCATTGAGCCACGGCTCTGCATCGAGCATTACTCGACAGAATAACTCGAGGTCCCTTGCAGACCTTGTCAACGGTCCGACACAACCCACGATTGCATCCATCCCGTCATGAGAGCCCAAGAGACCAGAATGTGGCAGACGTGCCACTGATCCTTTCAGCCCATACAAACCACAATGGGCCGCAGGGATCCGAACGCTCCCGCCGATATCGGTTCCAACGCCCATAGGGCTACCATGACATGCTATTAGCGCCCCTTCGCCACCACTGCTTCCTCCTGGGGTTAAATTGCGATTAAACGGGTTAATAGTCTTGCCGAACACGTTGTTGTCCGTCTCGAGTGACTAAAACGAGGTAAGCGAATGCACAAAGACGTACACAACATCACTGACAAGCAAAGTTTGTGGACTCTGTGTTTTGACGTATAGAATCGCGCCGGCGTTGCGTAGAATTTCTACCAGCAATGCGTCGCTGTCCGCAACAGTTTTGTATGCCCAGCCTTAATATAAAAAGGGCGATAAACGACTGGTTTGGGCCGAACATATAGTACTCACCAAGATATCCGGACGAAGTGTCCAGACCTTTTATTTTGATGTGATCTTTGATGGATACTGGTAAACCGTGCAGTGGACCTATGACATTTCCAGTGTTCTCCAGATATTGGTCAAGCTTGCTAGCTTGGTGGAATGCTTCATCAAGGAAAACTTCTGAAAGACAGTTGGTGACATCCTGGGCAGCCACCGCTACTTTGACGAAGGCCCGCAGAACTTCCTGCGCAGTATAGACTCGTTTGCGGATCAAATCTACGATCGCTGTCGCATCACAATGGACGATGATACGCTCTGTCTCCGTGAGCTTGCTGAGCGGGTACTGCGAAAGATCGATGGCATCATGATCACTTGGAACATAAATGCGCCCTTTGCGATATGCGGATAGCTTTGCCTCGCGCTCTTTTCGTTTTCGGGCAGCTACATCCTGGAGTTCGATCATCGTAAATAGATGGAACGGCAGTCGAGACTCGAGGCGCCGTTGACAAAATTTTAGCAGCTGACAATGGCGCACCTCTTTATACGTTACTGGTACCAGGAAGCAATATGAAATCCCACAGACCAAAAATGAATAAAATTCGAATTCTTGAGGCTATGCGCGTATCTGATTGACTTGCGGCAGGACGGTGCGCATACGGTATGCGAAGCCCATGAGAATCTGTGTACACTGCAGATAAGCTGTAATTGGGAGACCGATCGACCGGATGACATGAATGCCAGCCAGTGAGGAGTAAAAATGTCGCCATGCCCTGCCTGATTACTACTAGTAGGCGCTCATACAGCATGTTGTAATTTTTTTTCATTCAACATGCGTGGTTCCTGGGAGGAAAACAAAATGATTTTGTCTCCGAATCTGCCAGGGTTGTGTGTTTCAAAGCCTCGGTGTGGATTGTAAACCTTTAAGCTAAGCTTCAAGCTTCAAGCTTTTATTCGGCAAAACTTGTTTACCGGCCCTGTGATGCAAACAACACCAAACATGGTCCAAATATACTTTCCGTTCTATTAGAACGGATCCAAGGGACGACGATCTGATCTCTGACGCACCCAACTTCTTAAGCCAGGCCCTCAAATTTGCAACATATGTTTTCTAGACACTAGCATGACCACTCGGAAAGCGCGGAAGATAATGTCAAGGCAGGCGCTAGAAATGCTATACTCCACTTGCGTCCCTTATCTAGACTTGACAGAATATTCCGGGGTTCTGCTTCTTTGCCATCCCTGGTCATTCTTAATGATCCTGTACTGCCTTCTCAACCGCATGGCCATCAGGTCATCAAACCCAGTGTTATCGGAGTTCTCGGCTACACTCATTCATCATACCACGTCAGATAAACGCCTTCAAATCAACGTAAAGGAGACTCACAGATTCTCTGATGGCACTGCGTCTCAAGTCAATTCTTGATGTTGACAACTCTTCCATAGCTGTCGTTTTTTCGTGCCGATCCGATGTCAATCTTCTGACCTTACTAAACCACATCCCTCACCGTCTGTCGCCGCACGTCACCCTACTAGATCCGACTTTCAAGGAGCTTCGAGTCAGTAGCGCCTGATACCAATCTTACTAAACTTGAAGGGCTCAGCTGAACCCACACTTGCCAAGAGTCTTCAAGTTAGCCCCAGACCAGAGGCTGTGGTATTCATGGAAATGCCAAGATTTATACTTCCAGTGAGCTATGATACTCTCGAATATCGCTCAAGATGAATGTCCCGCATTGACTCAATTTGTGCCTGGCCCATCAGTAGACGCTCCGGGACAACCTGGCCGAATATTCCGATATCCTTAATTCCAATTCGCCACGTACCACTGCACCCAAACATCCGAAGAAAAAGGCCATAGCTACCGCCAAAAAGACACCAGACACATGACCAACCCTTGATAGGCAACGTTACGTTCCACACCCTTAGTGAAGCTTTGACAATTTGAAGTATTACAGCTACCTTCAAATCGATAGGCCAGAATCCATTTTTGTTCATTCACCGCTTTTGTTTAGTTGTGGAGCTGGCCAAACAAAAGGGTCCCGCCTATTACGATACTTTGTCGGGTGAGATACCCCAGAATGGCACTGGACCTGCGCAGCTTTCTCATTCGACACTGTCTTTGGACATTTTCGCTATGGCTGGAAATCGCCATCACATTCCAGTAGCCATAAAGCAATAATATGTCACTATGTCTGCCCAAATGTCATCCAAGGCCGGTTGCTCGAGTGAAGCATGCAAGTACTACTTAATGCTGAGCTCACTGTGCTGGCATGATTCGAAGTAACAGAGACAATGTTAAATATACCATGATGAGTTGGTGATAAATAGTCATACCGGTATTACCAGCAGTGAGCTCAGAAGGGTGTCAGACACAGCGTCAAACGAACCGCATACCATATCATAGAAGTTGCGCAGTCCAGTACCATTCTGGGGTATCTCACCCGACAAAGTATCGTAATAGGCGGGACCCTTTTGTTTGGCCAGCTCCACAACTAAACAAAAGCGGTGAATGAACAAAAATGGATTCTGGCCTATCGATTTGAAGGTAGCTGTATACTTCTCTTCGTAAACAATCAGAAGCATATGTATATGATGTCATTTGTTTATTCCAATAAATCACGTGACTTTTTGATATTCGCAAACGCTCGCCTCGACCTGCTACTTAGTACTTTTCTTTCGTGTGTATCACGCCTCGATGTTTATTGCTATAATTGGTTTGCGTTTTTCAGGGAAGT